AAAGCGTGTGTGGACAAAGTGTTTGTGGACAAAGTGTTTGTGGACAAAGTGTGTGGTGACAAAGTGTGTGTGGACAAAGTGTGTGTGGACAAAGTGTTTTGGACAAAGTGTTTGTTGAGAAAATGTATGTTGACAAAGTGTATGTTGATAAAGTGTGTGTGGACAAAGTGTGTGGTGACAAAGTGTTTGTTGAGAAAATGTATGTTGACAAAATGTATGTTGATAAAGTGTGTGTGGACAAAGTGTGTGGTGACAAAGTGTGTGTGGACAAAGTGTGTGGTGACAAAGTGTATGTTGATAAAGTGTGTGTGGACAAAGTGTGGAGGAGGGCGGAGGAGGAGGCGGAGCCCGGGATACAGAATCAAAAACAAGAACCCCACACAAAGATGTGGGGAATTAGATTTGGTTTACATCTCGACAGGTTGGTCATGTTGTAGTTGATCCTGATCGCACAGGGTGTGCGTGGTGCTGCAGAGCTTGGCGTCATGCCTGGAGATGGTTGTAGACGTGCTGAGTCTAAGTTTAAAGAAAGTAGGAAATTGTGGCTTAGAACCGTCCTTGATTGCCTTCACTTTGTCCACAGACAGGCACCCTACCCTTACTCAGCATGCCAATTCGACTCGTTGCTAATCAACAAACCTTGCACAGAGAGGCCTTCAGTCATGGACTGAAGCTGACCCAACAGTAGGGCTCCCTGACCAAGTTCAAGCCTTAAGCGTACCACGTACGATACCTACGACCTTCGGCCTCAACATAGGAGTCTCACAGTTCATGATGGTTGGACCTTCGGTGACGCACACAAGCGGATGGGAGTGCCAGACAATCAGGACTATGACATGCTCCTGGAGAATGTGAAGTGGAAGTTTCGCCAGGCCCCACCTGGTTTGCCCTCTACTGCTGGCTCATCTACAAGGCTGACTTATTCCTGCCATTCAACACTGTGTACCTCATCACCGACAACTGTGACCTGGTGGGTGAGGAAGTGAACACCAACCCGGGCTTGGCTCATTGGCCGTGGGTGGCTGCTTGGTGGAGTGAACGGCGGCTGTTTACCGGACCATACAAAGAGCGGACCACAGTGGTGTTTGTTCCAATAGGGGCCGCTACTGGGCTGGAAAAGGTACACCCGACCTGGGTGGGCACCTTCGTCTTTCTGTTCCCAGAAATTAACTTTGCCATTATTGACAGCGACTGTGTGCCGGTCACCCTTTTCGAACACGAGGAGCTGTGGCACTGCAGAAGGAAAGACATCGAGATGTGTACCGATCCAGACATGTCAGGCGGCCTGCCTGCACCCACTGGCATGGCCGCTCCACAAGAGATTTCGATCGGTAGACACTGGCCGGGATGATCAGCAGAGCGAACCACCCCTGCCGCCAGAACCCCTCGGTGGATTGGGGCACTGTGTCAGGGGATGAGCCTGTACCATCAGCAGTGCCCTGTAGTCCAGGAGATACAGATGATCATCTGGAGCAGGTCTTCACCGCCAAAGCCCCGCCCAAGCTTGCATGGCATTAAAGGGGTTATATTGGTTAGTGAGGCCTTCACGGAAATCAATGCGGGCCTTGTGATTGTGTTGCGGTCCGGGCATGCACCGCCATTATCATTGCCTGCTCCAACAGACAAGGACAGAGACTCGGATGCCCTTGCCACCCAGGTAGTGGAGGCATATCATCAGGACGTCAGGCGCCTTGCAACCAGTCGCCCACCTGAGTGTCTGCGACCCTGGAACAAAAACGCCGTCACTACCTGGACAGCGAGATGTGTGAAATTTCTGATGACGAGTGCTGGAGGACAATTCACTATGGGCCTGTATGGGCTGATTTTCATGATGAAGCTGAAGGATCCGAGTCTTCACTCTCCAACGACACGATGCTGAGGTGCAGCAACTTATCCCCTGAGTTGAGACAGATGATGATGGAGACAAATGAGCTTCTACGTTCTCGAGTCTCCCGATTCGATCACGATTGGGAGGATGCTCAAGCCCGTGGAGACCAGGATGCCATGGAGAACATTGAGAACCAGATCCGCGAAGCCCATGGACTGATGTAATCTGGTTTGGATGAGACTTGACAAGTCTTGGAACGATGTATAGAGTTTTTGAAATGAAATGGACAGTCAATCCAATGCCCCTTTGCTTCGAAGGCTTTGCAGACAGCCTTATTGGATTTGAAATGAAAACTTCAGTCAAAACCGATAGGGACTCGACTGAGGTGGGGTCAAGAATATTTCACTCCGTGGAATATATACTTGGTATGCAGTACACATGCATGTCCAGACACTTTCGAACCTTTGACATGTGAACCAATTCATGTCACTGCAGTTTCAACTACATGCCAGTTCATGTACAAACTATGGATGATACCGTAGGCATTTTGATGTGAGGATCAAAAGGGCGCTGCCAATTATATTTTCAAGGCAGCACATAGTTTGAAGATCCATTGGCAATTTGATTTTTTCGAGATTGGATCCCTGATGTCAAACTGTGTTTGTGTTCGTTTTCACGAATGTGTCCAAGTCCTTATTCCACACGAGGCGCAACAAATTTGCAAACGCATCAAAAACAATTGCAAAATCCATTGTTTGGTTGAACATGTGTTTTTGAATTGCTTTCATGTAAGGCCCTGGGTTTTCTGCAGGCACCTTTGTAGTTCAACATTTACAATTGGCGATGTGTGGTATTTGATGTCCTTCGGTTTTTTGTTCCGCATGTTGGTGTGGTTGGTGTTTATGTTGTCGGTGGTGATGGTGATGGTGATGGTGTCGGACATGTGTTTTCATTGTTGTTGGAGGTTACGGTTAGAAGGTGGCTTTTGTACTGTGCAATTTGTACTTCATGGTTCAAACAACAGTAGCAACCAACAAACGAACATTTATGCAATTTCTGTTGCAAACAAAATCCATGGCACATTTCGTTTTGCCTGCAATAATGTGGTGCAATATGGTTCAACATTTCAATTTTTGATCAGCAAAATTGGTCCGTATTTGAAAATGACCGACATTGCGCTTATGTCGGGACTTGCAAATGTTTTGAGGGAGGCGCGGAAGTGATGTCATGTTTGTGCCATTTTGTGCTCATTTCAGCAGAGGAACATATGAAAAACAAAAAGGCAAACCATTGGAATTTTTATACACTGACATATGAATGCATGGGGGTTTCAACTCATTGAAAACGTGTGGTGTCTTGTGACCAAAGGAATGGTATTGTAACTGCATTGACCATTATATATTTCAACAGGAATCGTTTTATAACCCTTGGCTTCCAACCGTGAGGCTTCTGCTGCTTTAGGGCGGTTGGGTGGAAGAGTGCAGATCTTGGTGTCGATTTATTTCGATCCCGCACATTGGCACCAGATTTGATAATTCTAGGTTTTGGCGCGAAATATGCATTCAACATACGTTTTGGTCAGCACTCTGCATGTAAGTGCACAACGTACGTTTGCAATTACATATGCAATGTAGAGTATGCATATATATATATATATATAAATCTTGCATATTCATATATTTGTAGATTAGATATTCAGATGCACGAGGCATGCAAATACCTTCAGGCGTCGATACGGGCATTGTTCATGAATTTTGTTATGTGTATTTACATGCATAGACACTCACAGAACTACTATATGTTTTTGCAGTTTGCCTATACATGATCATGCAAAATCTTGCACATTTGCCATTTCAAAAAAGTATCTGCACACCGCCTCATGCAGGTCACATTTTTTGTTGTGAAATGATGCAGCATTCAACAAACCCAGGTCGCTATTGAAACTGATGGCAATTCACGCGGAGATAAGGCCACGGCCCGACCGTTCTTTGATTTTGGAAACCCAACAAATGCGATGGACATGTTGAGATCCCGCAAAGGATGATTCGAGGGTACAGTATGTTTTTTAGATTCGATTGTGTTGTGCAACAACTATACTTAGATTGAAATTTTGCAACACGAAGGATTAAAATGATTGTCCGAAACTGTTAAAAATGTGTTCTTGATCAGTGGAAAACTGATGGAAGGCAGATATCCAAGAAGCAGCACTGGCATTGGAGCAGGCTGAACTTGGTCTCTTTTTCTTGTTCCGCATTTTGTCAGTCAAATCTGTCGCCCTGTTTTCACAACCAACCATATCCAAAATACCCCGCAGTTTCCCAACCATGTAAACGTGATATATCTGCGCATTCTAGAATATTCTGCAGTTAAACAGTTAAACCAGTTAAACCCATATATTATTTGTAATTCTGTGCTTCTGGTCGGTCCTCACCTGCATTTTGGACATCGTGGCCTTCTCCAGGGAAATCTGCATTGAAACCTTCGATGAAACATAATGAAAAGTGATGAAACTGTCTATGGGGTTTTGGTTCCCTTTGGAACAAAATCTTTTTTGATGCTTGTAGCAGGCCTAGTCGCAATGTTTGATGTTGTTTTAGCCTCAAGTGCCTCATGTTTGGTTCACCGGGCGCCCAAATTGCTTTATTCACTCCTGACTCATCTGTCAAAACAGACTTCAGACACCAAAATTGTCGCAGGTGCATCCGTTGCCGAAATTGAGAAATGCACCGATACATATAGTATTATATCACACTGTTATATGCTATATAATACAGACAGATGTGAAACACATGGGGACTACTGTGGTTAGCCCTTGCACAGCATCATGGTTCTGCTTCCGGGAAAATTTGCAGCAGGATACGACAGGAAGTGAAGCGAGATGTAGTGATGGACCCCTTACTTGAAAGTGAATTTAAGGCTAAGGGGCTAAGGGGTCACGAAATCCATCGAATATATCTTGATTTCACCCCCTTTCCAAAGTCTACCATCCAATAGTCCAAATTACTTGTCCATCCACAAAACACCCTTTCACCTGCCCTTCACAAAGAACCTGAAGGTCGCCGATACTATCGACAGTGGACGAGGCATTCTGAGCCAAGCTTTGACTCCGCAAATTGGGCATCGACCATGGCACTGTGAGGTTTCAATTCAGCAAAAGTGCCTTCTTTGAGCGAGAAACTGGCTGCAGCAGTCTTAGTGGCTCTAATCCGTTATATTCCATACATTTCGATACCACGTATGGACACAAGATGACACAAGATTGCTTCTGTACGGCGTTGCGGGTACGGATACGAAATGAATCCACTACCAGGCCATTGCTCGGGGAAAATTGTCCCTTGCGAGCGAGCCACGGGTGGAACTACGGCCTCGAAGCCGCAGTAGCAGCACTTCCAGCCCGGCACAAAGAGATGACTTCATGACTTCGGTGACTGCAATCTACTAAAAGTTCCTATCTCTGACTCAGTACTTTAAAGGCTTTAAGAAACTCCATCCTGTGGAGTTTTTTTTTCGTGAAGGGGGGCCACTGGCACAAGGGGATGGGAAAATGGGGTTTAGAAGAAGCAAGGATCACATCACAGTGCAGTACTGTAATTTATATGGGTTTGCTGGGAAGGACCCTCAACTGTAATGACATTTAGCTTCTGGAGCTGCATCATTCATTCCTCCGACCCAGCTTTGATTCAGCTTTGATTCTTTTCTACTTATTTTCGAGTTTTGCCAAAGTCATGGGACTGCTCTTGAACCTGCAAGCAGCGGCAAGATGCAGCGAGGTCGCTTGTCCCGCGTTAGTGAGCGATCAGTCTCTTCCTGAGTACTAGTGTCTTGCACGCTGAACAGTTCTTGTGCATTTGAGGAAACTGAAGCGTGGGAGTTGCAACTCTTAGTCACAATCCGTGAGTAGTCATGAACCAATATAAATCCGACCAATCCAAGCTCTTTATTCTCCAAGTTTCTCCACAGTCGATTTGAGATGTGTTTTCGGTCCTGGAGCAGGGAGTCGATGAAGAAGCCATTCAAGCCTTCGTCGCAACATATGACCTGGATCCATGGGTTGGAGAGGCGAGAGATCGCGAGAGAGAGAGAGAGAGAGAGCATTGGTCAGCACAGATTCAGCACAGATTCAGCACAGATTCAACAGATTTTAACAGATTTTAACAGCACAACAGCATTGGTACAGCATTTGTTTGGTTTGCTTGTCTCAGGCTTTAGCAATGCTATCCCCTTCTCAACGTGGAAACCTCAACATTTTTCATTCCAGAATTGATCCAGGCTCTGTGTCCTGCAGAAATGACCTCCACACCAGGATCCTCTGTGATCAAGACTCCCTTGAAGGTGGAACATGCTCGGAATCGGAACGGACTGCTTGGGCTTGCGGTCACATACGTTGCTCCCATTTCCGGGTTTGGTTGAAGAATTATTTGATCAGGAAAGCTTCTCGATGCTTTTGTCCACCTTGGTTATCGCTTACACTCCAGGGAAGCCCTTCTGCGCAGGAGTGGTGATGAGCCGAGTTAAAACCGTGACTCCTGTGGAGCGAAGGATCCAAATCTTCACCAAGGAAGGGGCTCATGGGTATGGGAATGATTGGAATTGCATGGAATTGCTGACTTAGACATTTTACTTCGACCTCTGAGTTTGTCAGCAAAAGTGATGGAAGGTCAATGAACTTGGTGAGGGCGTCATAGATCGTTTATCGACATTGACTCCAGAACAGTGTGAGGCTCCTCGGTTCCAGCTGCGCCCTTGCGGATTTAAATTGCTCTATTGTGGGATCTTGGTGAACACGTTCACATCGCGTGGGTTGTTTGATCTCGTTTGTGTTTTCAAGATATTCTCATTTTACACCTTTTAGATCCTTCACAATTTCAGTTTGTCGGCTTTTTGACACTGGCGTAGGACTTAGATCTAGGCCTTCTGTCGAAATGTCTTCGCAGGCTGTGATGGATTCTGGGATGAAGATTCAGCGGGCCTCCAATCCTTCTGGAGTTGCAATGAGTCGTGCGAGGCTTATCATTGCCACTCTTCAAAGATGTTATCATTTGTTCATATTTGTTCTAAGAGTAGCCGTAATGAGCCGTTCCAACAGTTCATGGACATCTGGTGTCCTCAGTTTGTGGTGCTTCACCGCTTCACCCTAGGCATCTCAGAGGCCTTACGTAATCTTCCGGATGAAAGGCACTCAGAACCCTTCGAGTCTCGGCTCGGAGATCGGTACCGCAAAGTGCGTAGCAGGCGGGACACCAAGACAGTCGCAGTGGGACAAGCAGAGTCAAGGGGCCTAAGGGATCAAGGGTGATCAAGGGACCAAAGAAGATTCCGAGCGCTGAACTGCACCGAACTGACCTCCAGGAGCCGCCGGCGAACCCCAAAGACTCAGGAGGTCGCCGAGATACCGCAAGACGTCAAGCACTTGATGCAGGACAAAGCTTGAGCTAGAAATAGTGTGAAATAGTTACAGTTGATGTATGCTGGAGTGCTGGATATTGTGCGAATCCAATTGCTCAGCTTCAAATAGGTTAAGTCACGTCAAACGATGTCAAATGCAGATCCTTCTTCTCAATGTCTTGAGTCTTGAAGAGAGCTGCTCAAAAATCACGGGCAGTGCCAAAGAGCAACCAGAGAATTGCAAAGTAATTTCGAAATATTTCGAAATATTTTAGAGTGTCTTTAACAAATCGGTACAGGGTCAGATTGACAGATGTTGTGTTGGATGTTTGGGCTCCCTCCCACTTTCCAGGAATTGGGCCTTGAAGTCTGGTGCGGAGAGGTTCTGAGGATCGAATATCCGGAAGGGACGTCGAGTCGGACGTTTTACATGTTGTTTCAGATCAATCGACAGCTTGCAGAGTTGAAAACCATGAATGGTTTTGCATGAGACAGACTTCAAACCAATGAATTCCAATATCGCCTTTAGCTTGTTGCTTCCGACATCTTCAGACATTGCTTGCTCATTTCAAAGTCTAGCCACGTAGACACAGACGCTCATGTGGAGCCTCACGAGGTGTGCAGCAGTGTCGAAAACTGCAGCACAAGTCAGCAAGCACCATTTGCCATCTCGTGTGGCACAACAACACAGCAAGACTAAGACAGTTTCATGCGGCACCCAAAGCAATCCAAAGCGTCTACATGTGATGCAGGTGACCACTTTGCCACAAGCAGAAACATGCACAGACGCAGAAGCCGCAGCAGCACCAAGTGTGGTCAGAAGCGGATTTTGGCACTGCAGCGCAGCGTGAGGCGTTTGACTCTCTGGCAGCGACAAGCCGTAGTGCGAGAGCTTGGGCGTTGGTCTCAGCAACCTTGAGCGACCTTCAGCGATCTTCATAGTGGTCATAGCTGTCATAGCTTTGACCTGAAAGTTTAAGTGTGCCCCTCGCAGATCAAAAAGCCACAGAAAAGGCATTGCAACATTGAGCGCTTGCATCTATTTGCATCTATTTGCACCATTTGCACGCTCAGGAACATGCATGATGTTCGCAACCCCACTGGTGTCGTCATCAGCCGTGTGGGGAGCTTGCACAGCTGATCATTTTGAGCAGTGAAAGGCAGAAAAGATCCACTTCGGCACGCTGAAAAATTGGAAAAAGCTCTGCCACTGAGATTCTCTCGCAGCTTTTCGCATCTTTTGGCATTGATTCGCACCATTTCGCACCTTTCCCTGAGATCAAGCAGATTGTAACGCCTGACGAGCTGTTGCAGATTTTCATTGAGCTCAATGGCCTGGACCAAGACGTGGAGGCGGTGCACTGTGCAAGTCATACCTTTTTTCACCTCTCCTCACCTCTTCTTACCTCTTTCTTGACAGTCATGTTAAATATTATTGTTAGTATCTCTTATCTCTTCGTGACAGTCTTGCATCTCGTTATCTTACCTCTTGTACTTTTACAGATCTTTGCAGAGTGTTTGAACTATGCAAAGGATCTTTTTCGAGGATCCTGCGGCTCTGTCAAGGGAGGTCTGTTTAGTTGGCACTTTTTGTATGTAATGTACTGTAATGTACTGTAATGTACTGTAATGTACTGTAATGTACTGTAATGTAGTGTAATGTATTGTAATGTACTGTACTGTAATGTATACTATACTGTATATAATATATACATATATAAATTTATAATATTACAATATATATATATATAATAATATATATATAATATATATATAATATATATAATATACATAATATATATAATATATATAATATATATAATATAATATATATAATATAATATATGTAATATATATAATATATATAATATATATAATATATATAATATATATATAATATAATATATATAATATATATAATATAATATATATATAATATATATAATATATATAATATAATATATATAATATATATAATATAATATATATAATATATATTATATATATAATATATGTAATATATATATAATATAATATATAATATATATAATATATATAATATATAATATATATAATATATATAATGTATATAATATATATAATATATATAATATATATATATAATATATATATAATATATATAATATATATAATATATATAATATATATAATATATATAATATATATAATATATATATATAATATATATAATATATATAATATATATAATATATATAATATATATATTATATAATATATATATATAATATATATAATATATATATAATATAAAATATATATATATATATTATATTAATATATATAATATATATAATATATAATATATATAATATATATAATATATATAATATATATAATATATAATATATATATAATATATAATATAATATAATACAATATAATATAATATAATACAATATAATATAATATAATACAATATAATATAATATAAAATATAATATATAATATAATATAATAATATAATATATAATATAATATAATATAATAAATAATATAATATAAAATAATATAATATAATATAATATAATATATAATATAATATAATATAAAATAATATAAAATAATATAATATAATATAATATAATATAGTATAGTATAATATAATATAATATATAATATATAATATATAATATAATATAATATTATATATTGTAATATATATAATATAATATAATATGATATAATATAATATAAAATAAAATAATATAATATCATATAATATAGTATAATACAATATAATATTATATATTGTAATATAATATAGTATATATATAGCTATAATATAATATAATATTATATAATATAATATAGTATAGTATAATATAATATAATATGATATAATATAATATAATATGATATAATATAATATAATATAATGTAATATAATATAATAAAATAAAATATAATATAATATAATATATATATACATACATCCCTTTTTTCTTCTTGTTGGTCCAGCAGCATACTGGAGCATGCGGATTGACTCGCTCTCACTTGTCTATTCTGTTCGACACGATGGGACCTGGACCTACACTGAGATCCTACACCATTAATGGAACTACCCTGTTGTTATGTATTTATTTTGTCACGTGGGTGAGGGTTTTGTAGAGGGGCTAGCTGGACGAAATGGCGCACTCTGAGGTCAGTGTCTTTCTTAACTGTTTCGGTTGCGAAGTGGCCGGAACTCATGTAGGATCCTGTTGTGAAGGGAAAACTGAGAGCCTTACATCCTTCTTGCAGAAGCTTTCCACACAAAAACCTGTCTTGGTGCGAAGATGTGCGTGTTGCTTTCCAAATCTTAGCAAACTTATGCAAGCTTGCTTCATTTCGTACCTGCCAGGCCAAGTTGTGGGAACTGACACCAGAGCAAAGGATCGAAGTGCTTGCACCTGGAATTTACGCAGGAGTCTTAGTTGCAAAGCTACTTGAAACTGCCAAGGGACTGACCCACAAAATTCGATCACAAGAAATCCAAGGACAGTAGAAGAACCACAGTGAATCTTGAATATAATATATGTATATATATGTATACACATATATATATATACACATAGTGTTGAAATAAATCTGAAAGTACAATTCCAATGCAAGTCAGGCTGTGAGTGGCATACAGATGCTGTGATGCCTTGTTCACCTTAAAGGTAGAAGTAAACATTGAAGTGAAAACAACATCAACCGACTGCGCAGTTGCCCACTGGAGAATGTATTGGGATGCAATGTGGTTCATGCACTTCAAGACAAACTTTTCCCGGTCATGCCCTTGAAAGGTTTCCAGGGAAGACAAGTTATCGAGTCTTACTTTTTGCCATGCTATGTACAATGTGCATATTCTCAAGAGGCTAGATCAAGTGCAAGGCAGCTGGTTCAATAAATTCAGAATTTTGTGAGGCAGAGTTGAGACTTTTATCCGCTTTCACTCTCTTACATTCACATCGTATTTGTTGCATTTGTATCCATGTGCGCCTCAGGTTCAGAATGTTAGGAACACGTCTACCGCTGTTCGAAGCCGCACTCTTGGCATGTTTTGAGATTGACAGGGCATTGAATTTGCACAAACTGCTCACGAGTATCGAGCCTTTCCAATAATTTATTGCGGTCTTGGCGACATGTTGCGACATGTTGCGACACACAAGTTCAGAAGTTCCTTGCCAGGCATTGGCAATGTCCTGGAAGGTCGCAAAGCAATGACTCGGGCAAGGCAGGGTGTGGCGAAAGATTCTTCAGTTTGACAGAACAAACAGGAAGCACAAGATAACACAAGTATCAAGCTATATGTGGCTAGGTTTCAATGCGTTTGCGTTTCTTCATGAATTCAAAATCGCAGTCAGATTGGAGATTTATATTTATAGAGGATTATAAAGGTAGCCTTCCGAGCCTTGCACAGGGTTTGCACAGGGTTTGCACATATTGAAATATTTGAGATCCTTTCCGAGCAACATGCAAATGGCGTGGCCACTTTCTCGCAGGGCAGAGGAAGGCCTGGCTCTCAGATTCCGAAATTTCCATGGCGGTCGTTCAATCGTCGTTCAATCGTCGTACAATCGTCGTACTCGTTCGTTTCGTTGACTCTGTGCAGGGCGCTCCTCACACAGGCAGAGCAGGCAGATGACTTGGCTTCGCAAAACAGCGAAGACGTTCTGAGAGACGTGCTGAAAGACGTTCTGAGAGACATTTGGACAGATTCGGATAGATGTGAGAAGATGTATATGAGATGAATTCACATTGATTTTGATACGAGAAAACTGCGAATTGCAGAGAACTTTAGACTTTACATCTTCAAATCTCTACAAAGTAAAGTAAAGGATCATTTTAATATATTTTAATCATTTTGCTTTCATGAACTTTGGACGGTGTAGGCACACGTTGCGAAGCCGGAGCCGAAGGCGAGCACTTTCAGCCTGGACTCACTGGCAATGGACTCACTGGCCAAGAGCAAAGGGAAGCTAAGCCGCTAAGCATTGAACGACAAAAACGTTGTCAAATGTCGTTCACTCCCGACAACGTGCACCGAATGCACCCAATGCACCCAATGATTTGCTAAGGCACACATGGCACACAATTCAATGCACATGTACAATGTGCAGAATGCATTTCACATGCAAGTATCCAGCTGTTTGAATATGCCTGCTGTGACAACCTGAAATAAGCATCTCAGCTGCAACAATGCAAGGCGCCGACGCACAAAGTCTGCGTTTTTGTCTCAGCGTGCATGCGAACGGAGTCACTGTATCTACGTGTTTTAAGGTTTTATATTGTTTTCATATTGTTTTCAAATGGTGTTGTTTTCGTTTTGTTTTTAACCGCTTTGCACTTCAAGTGCCCGAACTAGCACGAGCTCAGGTCTGGCAGGAAACGACGGCGCAAAAATGGAAAAGCGAAGAGATTGACAGAGATTAATGATTAAGTTATTTGAGTTGTAACAGAGTTGTAACATGTCGAGATTGAGTACCTTTTTGCATTTGATCACTTGCAGAACAAAACCCTTTGATCATAAGCAGCTGGTTTGAGACCTATAGGGTCACAAAATCCAGGGATTGAACATGATTGGAGCTCACTAGTCATGTTGCAACGTGATGTTGCTGGTGGAAGATGCTCAGCCCATGCTTTGCAGAAGTTTTGGCTTCAGAAGGAACATGTATCTCAAATTTCAGTGCAAATCCATCCTTCCTAGCTTTCAAGGACCGTGTTGCTCACGGACTGCAGGGTTGCTTGTTGTCCGAATGTTACTTGGGCACAGCTTGGATGACCCAGCAAAACTTGTCGCAAAGATTTCCAGCAGACGTAGCAGAGGAAAATCGAGGATTTCTTTTCCGGCCCTTGTCCCCGAAGCAGTTGTGCTGCATTGTGCTGCATTGTGCCATGGCTGAAATCCAGCAGCTGAGAGACATGGGCTTCGCTGCTGCTGAAGCAGAAGTTGCCCTGCGGGAGGCCAGTGGCAATGTGGAACAAGCGCTGGAACTTCTCCTCACCGGTGCCTTGCGAAGCGACTCACCCGATGAGAGTCCCAAAAAGACTGGATCTGTGAGTCCCAAAGACTCAGAATGGCCAGAACTACCCAAGAAACCACCCCCAACACCTTCTTCTCCTTCGGGCTATGGAAAGTCTGATGCCAAGCCCCCTGGTCTGGAACAAGATGATGCCTTGGGCCTTTCTCTGGAGGAAAGTTTCTTTGCAGCCCAAAACCTGTTTTGAAAAGCCGTTTTGAGCATTTTTCAGCAGCGTTTTGCATCTTGTGCCTTTGCAGGAAAATGTGCCGACACCGCAAATGCCACGACCTGCGGGGCTGCCATGTGGCCTGCTCAACGTGGGTAACACTTGCCCCTCAGCTTGCGTAGTGAATAATTCATATGAATTGATGTAAATTGTGTCCACTGGGATGTTTCCTGAAAAGTTGTGAGTGAAAATTGGAATTGCTCGGGCAGTGGAAGTGGAATTGCCTTTCTTCAGGTTATGTAAATTCTCTTCTTCAGACACTGTTCCATGCAGAAGAATTTCGCAATCAAGTGCTGCACTTCGAGTACGAGCCAAAGCCCAGTGATGCGACTGAAACAACCGGCCACTTGTTTTTTCAAGGGTCAAGGAGAGGAAGAAGATACAGTTCACTGTCCTTACTTGCTAATAAGACCACATGACCATCACCTGACCATCACCTGACCATCACCTGACCATCACCTGACCATCACCTGACCATCACCTGACCATCACCTGACCATCACCTGACCATCACCTGACCATCACCTGACCATCACCTGACCATACCTGACCCACTTGGAGTCAAAGTATGCAGGTCATGTGCAGAAACCCCATAGAACCCCATGCGACACTACGCACTCCATCGAATCCCATGGAAGTACATGGACTCCCAATCCAATCGCACGGAATAAACATACACCACCGTAGACCCCAAACAGTGGGTGGAAAAGTGCTGGGAGGAACAGGTCGCTTGATGATTCTGGGAAGACTTGTCAGATGCCTGAAGGTCAGCCATGTGGCCCAAAACAGAAATAGGAAAGGACCAAAACTCATGACTAACTCATGGCAAACTGATTGGCTTAGTGGTTGCAGCTGGAAACATGCGTGAACATGCGTGAACTGCTGAGGAAAATCACCGGAGTCATCCCCATCTGAGGGCCTGGCTGCAAAGCGAAGACAGCATCATGCGGTGCAACTGGTGTTGGAATTGCGAAGACTCTTTGGATATTGTGCCTTGGCCATCTAGGTTTTTTTTTCAAGAATGAAACTTTTGATTCTTTTGTTGCCCCTTTTAAACATGTTTAAACCGTTCAGCTGCCTTGCCTCCGGCCGGCTCCAGCTGATTTCATCCGAAAGGTCTCCATTCAGAGCGCAGTTGCGTGAGCCCGTCCCAGCTAATCGCGGAGTTGGTCGACCAGCATGGGCACAAGTTGCCAGTGGGTGGCCAGGAGGATCGGTGAGCGAAGGGCATGACAGCTCATGCTGTGATCAAATGAGCACAATAGGTAGATTTTGGTAGATACAGCACGCAGATATACACAGATGGCCATTTATATTATATATATTATATATATATATAATATGCATATATATATATATATATATACACATAGAATGAGTCTCTCGTCACAGGTCTTTTTCCTTTTTGTGGTGCGATTGGCAATAGAGGTTTGGTTGCATCCCTGCAGCAAAGTGTGTTTGCACATGGCAGGATGTCAGCGAGTTCATGTTGAAGTTCGTTGATCAGCTGGAGGAGCTTTCATAATGTGCGAAGGGAGTGTTATTGGAGATTGAATACACATGGTATCCCAAATCAATGCAAAAAAGAACTTGCAACTTGCAAAGAACATAAGAAAAGTTGCTAAAGTTATGTTCTCCTCAATAGCTTATTCGAATGATTTTTCAACTTGAACAAAATGCAAAAAAATAACATCAAAAAACACAACTTCAAAACTGAAAAACACCGGAAGCAAAATAAATGGGGAAAAAATGAAAGTCAAAAAGCAAAATAAATGCAAAATAAAAACAAAAAACAGCAAATCGAGAAAGCAAAATAAATGCAAATGGACAAGTCCATTTTTTCCCATGTTTTTTCATTTTTTGACTTTCCTTTTTTTGTCCACTGTTTTTCCCCTTTTATTTTTGCTTTTGTGTTTTTTGGATTTTGCTGATTTGCTTTTTGTTTTTTCCATTTTTTTAAGCATTTGTCTTGTTTTTTCAAGTTTGTTGATTCTTAGAATAAGCTATGGTTTGGTGAACATAATGCTAAAGTTGCTTTCCGCAATCAGTTGCGAGCATCGTTGCGTAAGAGTGCGCACTTGGCAAACCTGCCAGGAAGGATTTGCAGAGAACAAGAATGCGGAGGTCGACAAGGTGCGCATTGTTTCGAGCTCAAAGGCATGAACGCAGAGACATGACTAGATGTAGAAAATTGTAGAAATATCCCTTTACATGGTGCAACAAAAATGCTTCAAAGGCCATTTTGCTCATAACTTCTGCATGTGACATCATGTGACTGGTCAACCTGGCAAGGAGACCAATCCACTGCACGACCTTCTGTTTGGAGAACAAGTACAGATTTTTTCCTACCGGGAGACGGACAGTGAAGGTCAGCAAGAGGATGCTGAAGGCGAAAAAAAGGTTGCGGAGACTTCTCAGCTGGTGGTGAACGAAGAATGCAGCGATTTTCTACAGATTTTTTTGGATGTGAAATACAAGAACCTCTATTCCGCATGGGCAGCATCCAGTCAACAAGATGTGGACTACACAACTCCAACCGGATCAAAGGCAGGATCTTTGGGCCGAGCCAGAGCTTTCTGGAATAAATTTGAGTATATCAGTGATATGTCACAGCATATCACAAGTCTGTGGACTGGTAATGACTTGAAAGCTCACAGTCATAAGACTTGTTTTGGTAGACCTTTACTTCATTCATGTTCACTCATCATAATTTGTCTAAATCATGCTTTTTCAGCGTGTCACCTGCAGGCAGCTGGCAAAACGCGAGTCTGGATTCGAAGGTTGCCCAAATTACTGTTCTTCCAGCTACAACGAGTCACATTCGATCCAGAGACAAAGGCGCCTCGCCTTTGAACTGGAACAAAAGCCTCAAAACTGCCTCGATTTTGGCAGATGTTTTTCATATACATTGCACGCGTACAGGGAATGCGTCGCTCTGACTTTATACTCAGTGATTCCATTTGTTCCAGGAGCAAATAAAATTGGATGACGAGTTTGACTTTGACCTGTCAATCTACCCTGATCGCTTTCTGGAGAGGAGACTGCCAAGTGATTCTACATCCTCGAGAATTTTTCTCGGGATGTCCCTGTAAAGTACCAGCGTCCTGATTCACTTCTCAAGCAACATGTAGGGTCAATACAGTCAATACATCAGCTTTCAGTGTGACTTTTTGTCGCTTTTGGATGCTTTCTGGTGTAGGAATCAAGAGGAAGTGCTCAAGGTGGAGGCGAAAGTTGAACTTCTCCGCATGGAGCAATGTGAGATCGAGAGGGCGCTGCAAAGCTTTCAACAATATCCAGCTGAGGCCATGGAGCAAACGGAGCAAACGGAGCAAACGGAGCAAACGGAGCAAACGGAGCAAACGGAGCAAACGGAGCAAACGGAGCAAACGGAGCAAACACAACACAGGTCAAGTCATGCTGTAAACTAAACAATTTCGGCTGAGGCTTTGAGCATCATGCAGGAATCATGAAGGACATGGTGATTCAAATTCTAGTTTGGATGTTTGTGTTCCACTGGAGCGTGACACAGCCGCAGGCTACAGATGGTGAGGCTTCTTTGCTTCCAGTCACCAGATTGTTGTACGGTGCTGCCACTTGCCTGGAAAGAAACTTTCGATCGACTGGATCGTCACAGCAGTCCCCTTTGAACTCTGGAAACGTGATCAACGCCAAGTCTGCTTCTGATCTTTGTAACGAGCTCCGTGAGCTCCGCCACTCCTCCGGCCACTCCGGCTCCGGCTCCGACTCAGCGACTTTGCCAGCTGTCACCTTGTTGCGTTCCTTAGCAGAGGCTTGTCGCACACAAGAGGAGCATCTTGAAAGCGAAAAGAAGCGACTTCAGAAAGAGCTTTCGGAAGCATACCATGCAGTTGGACAAAGTGAATATCAACTGTTTGGTATTTGGGTTCACCAAGGCCAAGATGCTCGATCAGGACATTATTTGGCCTTTTTGAAGGATTGGCGTGAGGATCGTTGGATGCGCTTTAGTGATTCCTCTGTCTCGTTCGTCACTTGGGAAGAAGTTCGGAGTGCTGCCGTAGGTGCGGCTGACAGAACCTCTGACAGGACGGCTGAGAAGGCTGAGAAGGCTGAGAAGGCTGAGAAGTCTGAGAAGTCTGAGAAGTCAAGTTCCTCTGCGTACGTCTTAGTGTACATGGAAGCCTCACTCGTGCGAGCTCACGATGCTCAAGCTTGTCAGGAGAAAAACCTCCCGATTTCTTCTGAGTTGTACGAGGAGATCCAGGCTGACAACATCGTGCTTCAGAACGAGCGCGGAAGCTGGGAACAGCAGGTGAAAACCAGAGAGTTGCGTCAACATGCTCAGGCCATTTTTCAACATTATGCAGGACTATTGCATCGTTGGGAACCACGGAAACAGCTTGGAGATGCTGCAGGCAATCCCCATGATCCGAATCATCGCAAGATGTTAAATGACCCAGTACCCTGAAGGCCCTGAAGGGGACAGTGAGCACGTTTTGAGTTTTGTTTTGAGCCTATTTCAGTTTTTTTTGCTTCGATTCTACTTTGGACCTCTTACCGGTACTCAAGCTTTCCCACTATGTTGGCCTTGCACATGTGTTTCCACTTGAATAAGGCGTCGTTGTCATGACGACGAGTCTTCTTCAAACAGTTATATTTAGCCTTCTAATGCAACCAAGCAGAAAAGAAGCGAAAGAAGAGTTGCGTTCATGCTGTTTGAACGATTATGTCATCGCAGTTGAGGCATTGATTTGCTTGGAATTGTACCTCTATCGCTCTGGGGGAGAGCAGGACGTCTGGCACTACTTGCTGCAGAGTGGCTCAGCTGTTTAGCAACAATGACAACGCAATATATCTTTCTGACATCAATGACGCTTTCATCATCATCATCATCATCATGATGATCATGATGTTCAGAATCACAGTAACCATCAGCAGTGTTGACATGGGTAGTGTCATGGTTGTCCTTATATAGCTTCATCAGAAGTGTGCCTGTCATCACGATCACTTTGCCTTGCAGCCAACCAATCGATACAATGTAAGATTATGCAAGGCAAGTCATGCACAGCAACACATTTTCTCCACTTCAGGCAGCCTGGAAGCACAGAAGGAAGTTCGCAGCTGGATGCCAGAAGACGAAGGTCGGATTCTTTTCTTTCTGGCCGAAACCTTGCGCAGCCAGTCATGTCACTTTGAAGCAGTGACTTATTCAAGGTTTTTCAACTGTACCCCCTTTTCAGGACCAAGATGGTGCAACCTAACGCAACCTAATAAAACTGAAGTGGAAGGTTCTTTCGTGCTATTGAGTGTAGGACCTAGCTAGAGCATTTGCATCGCAAGCTTGCTCAGGTTATGTCAAAATGCTGCAAGAGAAAAGCAATGAAGATGGATCCCCAAGTGCTGAGGGTGACAATGAAGCAAAAACGACTTCGCAAAGCAAAGAATACGAGTTGATGGACATCGCTCTTCCGCAAGTACACGAGAGATACAAAAATGTTTTGATACAAGCTTACATGCTGGATGAGGCAAGGGTTGGCAGAGGGACCGGGGAGGAGAGGTGCTTGTTTGACTCTGCTGAAGTTGTTTTTTTGTCCAATTTTTTCATGTGGTAAATGCAGTGCCAAGAGCAGGGCAGGGAAATAGTTCGCCTGGATTACAATGCAGAAATACTTCTTCCCTGTAGATACGAATGACTTTTGCTGACAAGAATTGAGATGACCATTTGTTTCCTGTTGCCACTTTGCATGATTCACCCATTGAGGCCTTGAATTTATTAAAGAAGGAAGGTGGCCTGGCTCTCCCTCGTGCAATTGGCTTGCTCAGTTTGCTTTGGGCACATTACAATCTGGACATGGATTATCGCTTCAGACACAACGAAGTCCTTCTGGTCCTGAGTTCTTTAATGTACAACACTGTAACCTGCATCGAGCAGGACGAGCTCTCGAGATCTGCCTTCCGTGAACTTGGTGAATACTTTTTCATTGTGCTACACTGTGTTGAATGGCCGAGAGGTTGGAAAACTCCACTGCAGAATCGCATAAAAGCTATGTTTCCTCAATGTCAAGACCTGTTGGACTTGGAGCTGGCCAACATTCTCAAGGCCAGAGCACAGCGTGAAGGAGCCTCTGGGGTGACTCCGACAGCCACTTTCGCTGATCAGAAGCAATTGGTGAGACAAAGATCGCTATTGTTCACCGATGGGAAGACCGTTGAAGATTTCGAAGATCACCCACCACCTGGCGATACATTTTTTGAAAGGCACCGCTCCCTGTGGTCGTGGACAATGACAAATGAGAAGGTCCTTGCACAGGAATTTGTGGCTCTCGCAGGTGGAGCATGTGCATAGTGTCCTTATGTGATTTATGTGTCCTTGCATCATTCAATTGTGCTTTGGGACTCGTGACACTTCGTGAGACTTCATGGTGCAAAATGCCGGACTCCGAGTTCATCCCCAAGTCCGTGTCCGTGTGACTCGACGCCAAGGATCGCCTAGGGATCTGCCAGGGCTCCAAGAGATCAGCAACGCAACGACGCCTCCAAGATCAAAAAAAAGTGACGGTGACCGACGGTGACCAAATCCTGGCATCTGGCATGCAGAACATGCAGAATACAGAGTGCTGTGAATATCCTCTCTGAAGTGAATATCTGGTGAATATTTGACAATTGATACAGTGGATACAATGGATGCAATTGTGAATTGTCGCTTTTGTCGCTTTTGTTCTGTGATTTCTGTGATTTGCCGGTTTTGTCAACGGTCAGCTGGGCTCAAAGAGCTTCTTTCGTATCAGATAGTAACATATTCAGTATAGCCTTCCAGGCCTTCCAGACATACACCAAAGATGAAGAAAGTACTGCAGAACTGGGTATCCTAGTCATATCTGTGAACATTTATCTGGGATAAGTATAATATAGTATAAGTCTTTTAGTCATTTTAGTCAGCATGCTACCATTTGATCTACATTAACAAATATTTACAGAATTGTGGCTTGTGGCCGCACCTTGAACAACATGCGTGCATTTGTTGACCGATGGTGTCGAAGTCGCCCCGTACTTGTGATTCTGGCACGTAACGAGATGTGCACCCTAGGAACGAGAGGCAGGTTGTTGAAAGAGCCGGAGACTCCCAAGACTTGACTCCCAAACCTGGCCAAAGCCATTTGGTCAGCATCGGCTCAACGTTGGTTCAGCCTTGATTCATGTCTCATTGGATTTCAAAAACCGCACCAGCCAGGTGTTGATGCTGATGATCTCATACTCTGTGCAGAGGCCAGTTTGAGTAAGGTATAGCTGAGTGAAGCAAGAAATGCGAGGAAAGGACGACAGGTTTGCAGGGAATATGGTCAGAAGACATGTCAGTTGAGTCATAATCTCAAAACTGCAGAGTCAATATTGAACGTCGATTTCAAGACAGAACGAACGCGTTTCATGTCCAGTTTGCTCATCTCCTACTCAAAGTCGCACGTTACGTGCCCACCACCTGTTTGTCTTGCTTGCAAAAAACTGAAGGCCACGATGCCAATTGCTACGCAGAGACTGTCATGGAAATGTCACTATACGTACATACATACATACGTACGTACGTACGTACGTACCTACATACATACATGGATACATGGATACATGGATACTTGGATACATGGATACATGGATACTTGGATACATGGATACATGGTTCCTTGGATACATGGATACTTGGATACATGGATACATGGATACTTGGATACATGGATACATGGATACTTGGATACATGGATACATGGATACTTGGATACATGGATACATGGTACTTGGATACATGGATACTTGGATACATGGATACATGGATACTTGGATACATGGATACATGGATACTTGGATACATGGATACATGGATTCATGAATACATGGATACTTGGATACATGGATACATGGATACATCGATACATGGATACATCGATACTTGGATACATGGATACTTGGATACATCGATACATGGATACATAGATACTTGGATACATGGATACTTGGATACTTGGATACATGGATACTTGGATACATCGATACATGGATACATGGATACTTGGATACATGGATACTTGGATACATGGATACATGGATACATGGATACATGGATACTTAGATACATGGATACATGGATACATGGATACTTGGATACATGGATACTTGGATACATGGATACATACAGACAGACATACATACATACACACATGTATGTAATACATACATGCAATATGTATATACGTATATAAATATAAATATATATATATAATATATATATATACATACACATTGCGTATCTGCTTATGTGTAGATTTACATATGTGAATGCACTGGCATCGCAGCAGGTACAGCTCCTCAGTTGCAGTGGCCTTTGCAGAGCTGCTGAAGCTGATTTTTGCCTTGGCGATGCTTCCACCGAAGGCCGAAATTCGCTGGGTCTCCAGTAATTTCGTAGTGGTTGACTCATAGTCTGTCATAGTCTGTCGTACTCTGTCATGGTACTAACTTATAAACAGAGTACTAACTTGTAATACTAATTTTACAGTAATTTCTATGAGAAAATCTGAACATGGAGCTGCGGGGATTGCTGATTGACGATCAGCTGCAAAGTGGCTGGCTTTCTGGCGCTGCCCATGACCTGGTCCTAGCAGCTAGCATGTCTAGATACTTATGGCGTAGGCTAATACTGGTAGTTAGTAGTTGGTAGTAGTTGGTAGTAGTTGGTCTCAATTACTTTGTTACTTGCTGTTCCTGGTTAAGGTGATCTACACTTTGCCCAAGTCGGCAAGTTGGCTCTACGCTGTGCCTGCTACACTCTACACATTGCAAAATCGGCTCGTGTCTTCCTCTCAGACGGTCTGGATGGCACAAATCCGATGGATCCCAGAGCAAATCCACAAATCCAAAAGATTCTAAAAGTAAAGCAGTCAAAACAATCCACAAGCTGTTTGGTATCACTCTGGTATCACTTTGAAACTTTTAGATTACTTCAGTTTGCATTACTTTGTTTTGTGTTCTTCAGGTTTGAGGCTCTGCGGTTTCTTGGACCACCTGAGTACCAGCTGCTCAACAACATGAAGCTCTTTACCACATCGATCGTTTTTCGAGTAGTGTCTCTCTTAGCCACTGGCGCGAGTGCAAGCATGTTAGCACGCAATAGCAGCTATTAGCATGTGATACGGATACGTGTTAGATTCGTTAGATCGTGCTAGCGTTGTTGACTCACCCCGACTCACTGGCACTGGCACCAGGTCATGAAGCGGCAGCTACGTGTCTTTCAGTGGAACTGCTGGCATGTTACGCATGTTACGCATGTTACGCATGTTACGCATGTTACGCATGTTGTGCACTTTGCAGTTTGCACTTTCAATGCTGTGCACTTTGCAGTTTCAGTGGCATGCCATGAAGTGAGACGCTGTGCTCAGGTTGGCTTTGATTTTTTTGGGACTTGGCCAGGTCCTTAGGTGAAACTTGTGTAAGTAAGAGAGAGAGACAGAGAGAGACAGAGAGAGAGAGAGAGAGAGTAGGAGACCTGAAGCATGTCTCAGGCATGGCCGTTGCGACCACGCCCACCAGCAGTGTGGAACAAACACAGGAGCAACATGACTGTCACAAGCTATGGCGACAGGCAGCGACGGGTCAAAAAGATTCCTCCTTCAGGCGTTTGAAGCTCGCCTCTTGACTTGCGCTGCACAGGAGAGCCATGATTTGTGGACAGGGACAATCATTATGATCACAGTCGCGTGGTGTGGTAGCTTAGCAATGCTGAGCTGAGACAGCCAGTAAGTTAAATGCTGATTCAGCCTCCGTTTCCTGACTCTTCTCTGCTGCTGCTGCTGCTTGTAATAGTAGTTATTATTATCATCATTATTATTGTTGTGGTGCTGGTCCTGGCGGCGGCGGCGGCCATCGTCGTCGTTGTGATCGATCTATGTTGCTGGTCGTTGATGGACGGTTATCGTCGTCGATCGTAGTAGTAGTCGTAGTAGTCGTAGTAGTCTTGTCGTAGTAGTCGTGTCGTAGTAGTCTTGTCGTAGTAGTCATGTCGTAGTAGTCGTGTCGTAGTAGTCTTGTCGTAGTAGTCATGTCGTAGTAGTCGTGTCGTAGTAGTCGTGTCGTAGTAGTCGTGTCGTAGTAGTCGTGTCGTAGTAGTCGCATGTTGTTGCATGTTGTTGCATGTTGTCGCATGTTGTCGCATGTTGTCGCATGTTGTCGCATGTTGTGGTGTGGTTGGTTGTGGTTGTGGTTGTGGTTGTGGTTGTGGTTGTGGTTGTGGTCGCGGTCGCGGTCGCGGTCGCGGTCGCGGTCGCGGTCGGGGTAGTTGTTGTTGTTGTTGTTGTTGTTGTTGTTGTTGTTGTTGTTGTTGTTGTTGTTGTTGTTGTTGTTGTTGTTGTTGTTGTTGTTGTTGTTGTTGTGTTGTTGGTGTTGTTGTGTGTTGTTGGTGTTGTTGTTGTTGTTGTTGTTGTTGTTGTTGTTGTTGTTGTGTTGTTGTGTTTGGTGTGTGTTTGTTGTTGTTGTGTGTGTTGTTTGTTGTTGTTGTTGTTGTTGTTGTTGTGTGGTGTTGGTTGTTGGTGGTTGGTGGTGCTGTTGTTGTTGTTGTTGTTGTTGGTGTTGTGTTGGTGTTGGTGTTGGTTTGTTTGTTTGTTGTTGTTGTTGTTGTTGTTGTTGTTGTTGTTGTTGTTGTTGTTGTTGTTGTTGTTGTTGTTGTTGTTGTTGTTGTTGTTGTTGTTGGTTGTTGTTGTTGTTGGTTGTTGTTTGTGTTGTTGTTGTTGTTGTTGTTGTTGTTGTTGTTGTTGTTGTTGTTGTTGTTGTTGTTGTTGTTGGTGTTGTTGGTGTTGTTGGTGTTGTTGGTGTTGGTGTTGGTGTTGTTGTTGTTGTTGTTGTTGGTGTTGTTGGTGTTGTTGGTGTTGTTGTTGTTGTTACAGTGGTAGTAGTCCGAGTAGTCGTACTGGTTCTCGTTGTAAGTAGTAGCAGTAGTGTTTTCATGTCGTATTTTCACAATTTATCACAACTACAGCTCTGTGACAGTACAGCTTTGTTCTCGTGCTCTGTGACCCTGCCATGGCTCTGCAAGCCCTGCCACGAGGTGCTCTGCAGCTGCCGGCGTTCTGAATGAATGGCTCATCAAGAAAAGCTCAAGCGTCCTTGAGGCGACCAAGTTTTCCACAATTTTCCATTTTGGACTTGGACTTGCGAGGTCATTTTTGGTATGCTGTCACCAAAAAAACAGGTATCACATGTATCACATGTATTACATGTATCACGTTGGTGTCAAAAAGGCAAAATTGGCAAAGGCCAACGTGTGGCTCTACCTCTTCGGTGTCATCACAGCAGTTGCTCCGCTTCCTTGGAGTCACTGGGCGGTCACTTTTTTTTGAGTCGGTGGATGCTGGACCTCAGGGCCTGTGCCACGTTTTCACCCAACTGTGAAGATTCTGAAGTACCCAGGCGATCCTGACGGTGGATATTTGGAAGGCTTCAGCACTTCAGTTTTTCCTTGGAGTGCTGCTCGGATGCAATTTGTCCCTATGGCCCTATGACAGAAGACATGTTATACTTCTATGATCTGCAATGCATTTCATCAGTTTTTGATCAGAACTCAAAACTCTCACAGCCACCCTGTGAACCTCGTGAAAAAAATAGAAAGGGGGAGGGCGCACCAGGATCTCTTGAACTAGTGAACTAGTCAATGATGTCAATGCGCAGTTGCATCCGCAAGTTTGACAAGACCTGATTTGGGACGCTCTGAGACTCTGAGGTAGTGCTTTGCAACGCGGTTTTGGGTCAGTCGATAGCTTTTCTCTTCAGGCGCTCATTGCACTATATTGCACTCCAGTTTGCTAGTCTTTGCGAAAGCCGCTTCCGTATTTGCAAGTGATGCGCCTGATCCTTCTTTTATTTCTAGTGATCTGCATGGGATGAAAAGGTATGCCGATTCGATTGTGAAGCTCCAGGCAGTTTGTGCCGTCGTGACCTCAACCTCGTCTCAGTGTGTCGCTCTTGTTCGTTTTGTCCTCTTTCAGATTTCTTGAGAGCCAAGGCGATGGCACTGACAACACTGTTGTCCAGAATCTTCTTCGACTACAAAATCCATTTTCATGCCTTGGGTGGCTACCTGGTCACGTTTCTTTCGATGTGTTTGTACTACACCCCATCTGAAGTTCTGGTTTCCACTGACGCAGAGTTTCTGAGTTCAGTTGACCTCAGCAAATACATTTCCTCCACCAAGCCAACGTCTACGGAGTCTACGACGTCCGAGAAGTCGGACTGAAGATGACTCTTCGATGACTCTTCGATGACTCTTCAGAGCCGCGGCTCTGTCTCGAGTTTTGAAGCGCCACGGAGTCGCCGTGGACCGACTCACCGAGGATCAGAGAGTCGCCACATGATCTCAGAGCTGTGGGAGAAGTACAGCCCAGTGTAAAGCAGAACAAGGAGATCAACAAGATTTGAACAAGGAGATCAAAAGAGATCAAAAGAGATCAAAAAAGATCAAAAGAGATCAAGGAGACTTGGCAAGTCGTGGACAAGTCCTGGACGAGTCTCGGATGGAATTTTGACATGGAGATCCAGCAACCAAGGCCAAACTGCAGAGCATTTGCCCGTTTCTCCAGACCTTCTCTGTCTGTCTGTACAGAAACACTTTTTGAAAGAGAGCCACAAAAAAGCTACAGAGCAGAGTCTGCGCTGTTTCAGCACTGTGCTAATGAAATGGATTTGCTGTGCATAAATTCAAAACATTCGTCATTTTAGTTATTTTGTGCATCCTAGCCATAGAAGTGAAGAGCATCAAGCACGCCTGGGGTTTGGGATTGACCTGCCGAACTGGGTGCAGATTTGTTTGTTTCGTTACTAATTTCACTAGCTCTTCTGTTTAGCCGTTGAAGAGGTTCAGTGCTCAACTTCAAAGGTGAAAGGTGGGCATCGTAGCACATTGTGTGCGCATCGCTGTGCCACACTGTGCTTGCACTCCGGCCCTCGAATGACTGCAAGCTGCAGCGAGGGCCGCGAGGGCAATGAAGATTGGAGAGACGGGCACCAACTTCCCTGGCGTCCAGTACATCCAGTGAAGGTTTCGGAGGTGCAATTGAATACTCGCCCTTTTCACCAGCAGGCTAGGGGTTAATAAAAGTGCAAAATCACCGAGCATCGGCTTGTTGCATGACAGGTTCATGACACTTATCTATATGGTCTATATGGCAGTTGCATGCCAATTGAATTATGATTACACGAACGTTGATTCTCATGTTGAGTCCTGCAATGTGCCTTGAATCCCGGCACTGTAATCGTAGTTCACTGTGTTCACCCGAGCCAACTTTTCGCGAATCAGGAAACAGCACTTGTAGCACCTGGGGCACCAATAGCTGTCGCAACAACACTTGGCAGACGACCTGCCAGCACTCTGAAGCTCTCTGAGCACTTGGGCTCTGGCACGATGGGCACGTTGGGCACGTTGGGCATGTGGCTACCTGCAGCATCTGCATCTACAGCACCTGCATCGTCATCAGCGTTTGCCGTGCCAGGGCCGAAAATGCCGGAAGCTTTCGCGGCATCCAGTGCTTCCCGACCACCACCAGGCCTTGAACTTCCTCAAACATTGCTTGAGTCCTTCCATGCAGCCAGGCCTCGTCTCACAAAGAGAATGAAACGCATGGCTCTTACGAACTTGATTCGAACGCCAGAAGGTGCAGAGGAAATTTCCTTAAAACTGGACTCTGCAACGCATAGCTTCTGCGCAGAATTGGTGGCTGCCATTCTGCCTGAACTGCCAAACCTGGCATGTGATCCTCATGGAATCCAGGTTCTTTCAAAACTTCTTGCTCTTCCTACCCTAAGCCAGGAGCTTCGCTGCAAGCTTGCCCAGCGGTTGCAGGGCTCAATTCTCAAGCTCACCAAGGACAAATGAACATGTCCTGATTATTCCGTATTGTGTTTGAAAAAACAATGAGATTCACTTTCTATGGTAAGTGCAAGCCTGTGTAAGATATATATAGAAGATCTTAAGAGAACCTCGGGTTTGAACGTGCCTTGGTCTTTTCAGGACAAGTATGGATGCTGGTTTGTTCAGCAAGCGATACAGCATGTCCCGTCAGAGCTTCAAGAAATGATTCAAGCAGAATTGAAAGGCAAGATTTTGGTTTGCAGCCAACATTTGCATGGCAACTTTGTCTTGCAAAAATGTGTGGAGCTGCTTCCTGGGAGCATTTCTTTCATCATCAAGGAGCTCAAGAACCATGTTCTCGAAGCGGCATTGCACGTGTACTCTTGCCGAGTTCTGCAGAGACTTATCGAACACTGCAAGCATGAGCGACCTGACATGGCTGGGCTTTTCGACATTTTGTTGCGGCCTGACACTTTGCAAAAGTTAGTGCTCGATCCGTACGGCAACAATGTAGTGCGAGCAGTGTTGGCATGCGGAAATAGACAGCATGTGCAAAAAATTGTCAAGGTTTTCCTGTGTGGAGAAGCAGAATTGATAGTCTATGCTCGGAATCGGCATGGCAGTCTCGTGCTCGAGAGATGTCTCGAGAGTTTGAATTGTGATCACAAGGAGCTTTTGACAGAGAGGAATGCATTGATGAGTGCCATACTGGGCACAGAAGATGCTTCCCTGTTTTCGCAGATAGCTTTGGATAGGTTTGGGAATTACATCGTGCAGAGGACTATCGAGATTTGTGAAGGTCCAGAGCAGCAACGTGTTCAAGAGCTTTTGAATGGCCTTGGTCACAAGCTGCGGCGTTCAGTAAATGGAAGGCACATTTTGCAAGCAGCTCGGAAGAAGTTTGGCTCGTTTGCTTTCGGCCCTTGCGGCCCTTGCGGCTCAACACTCGGTGTTACCCCTGAGGACCTCACGGACCTCACGGACCTCACGGACCTGGCAAGCTCGGTGTGATCGGCTTCACATCGCTTCAGAGTTTACTTGCGCACCTGACGCAAGTAACTTTGGAGCAGATTCTACTTGATTCTACAAATTCTACATGCATAGACAGTGCATAGAGTGAATAGAAAGTGCATAGAGTTGTACAGCTGAATTTGTTGTAATTGCCCCGTGACAGCTACCACTGATGCAGGGACTCAAAACGCCTGAAAGGACGCAGGTCCTTGTGGTATGACTAACAGGGCTGAGGCTCTTTGTGTAGCCGCCTCGAAAGAGCCAGATACCAACGGACGTTTTCGTCCAAATGCGGAGACCGTCCAATTTTTTACGCAAGATCTTTAGTTCTCTAAACGGGGAAAGAACTGGGACTGGTCGCGGCTGTCAAAATGCTTCCGTTTGAATTTGCGAAGCGACAGCTCGGTTGGACTCCGCCCGGGGGCTCCTTACACCTCGAAGGAGGGATGAGCACGATGAATGCGAAGTGAGGAGCTCTGAGATATACAGCAGAGCTTTCTGGATTTTGCCGCAAGCTTTGCTTAGAGGCTTAGCTGTGCAATCATGGCCATACCTATGGTAGCGGCCTTGTGTGCTTAGTAGAAAAAGACACACTGACTCCTAAGTTGGATTGGCAGGAGCTGCTTTCCTGGAAATGCAGGAGCGCAGTGATTGAAATCTGATTTAATTATACATCATTCTGGGAAAGGTCCCTACTTGATTGCGGGAGTGTGTTGATGGCCGTTCGTCCAGCGTTCGTGCCGGCATATGGTTCAGAGAGTAGGGCAAAGAGGTAGAGCGTTGTAGGGTGTGTTGTGCACTGTTGTGCACGTGATGCCGTCGGCTTTACAGGACCCAGTGTGGGCGAGTGGGCCAGTTTTGTCGAGTGGATTGTCATTTGAACACTTTGGAACTTTAAGCCCTCTTTCAGACCTTGCCGGAGTGCGATTCTGGGCCCTCAGACCTTGCCTTTGGGAGGCTGGGCTACAGCCCGGGGCTCACGACACCAGGCGGGGCTGTGTGATTCGTGGTTTGTACCGACCACAGCACTTCACGCCATTTTGTGTTGACAAATTCCGGCGCAAGTCTAGTGAGTTGGGCTGTCATCTCAGCTTGAACTTGCACAAGTATCCCTTGAGCATCCCTTCTCACGTCACTTCAAATTTCACTCTTGGCTTGGCAATGCAAAACTTGCAAGAGATGCCAGCTCTGAAAATACAGTCCTTTGAGTCCTCTGCGGTAAGAATTGAGACTGCTTACACAAAATGGTGGCTAGATGCCATTTGGGTATGCAAAAGAATGCAAGAGACTGACCTGTATTTTTGCCATCGCGGAATGAACAACATCTGGAGAAACAGCTTGCAACGCCACTGAAGCACAGGAAAACTAAGGGATACTAAGGGGCATGAGTTGATGAACAGAAGCCCATGTACCGGCCACTGCCCTTTCAGTCTGGTGGGTAGTTCTCTATTATGTTCTTTTCTATCTTTTACAGTTTTTGGCTGCGTCTTGAAAAGCAGGGAGCCCCAACTAACAGAGGTTGCACGATTTATTATCATTCCATTCTAACAAACTTTGGGCAGATCCTGCAAAAACTGTTCTTGTTCTGGTTGGCTTGCACACACACGAGCCAATGACTCTTTGTCTCATACCAGGTCGCCCAACACCAAGATGACACCATCGCCGCAAGAAACTTGGAACTTGGAACTGCAGCTGACAACAACGATGCATGTAGCCGTACAGTTTCTACAGCTTTTTCAAATTGGTGCACACATATTTACGCACCAATTTGTCTCATGCTTTTGAAGGTCGGTTTCATCGTCGACGTCTTCCCCAACATCCAAGGCAGCTGCCCAACCTTCCCGGGTAGAATTTCAGCTGAACAGCTCTTATCTGTTGAACGTGTCCAATATTGTCCAGCCTCTGTATAATATGAAGGTGTTCAAAGATCCAGACAGTATGGCTTTAAGCTGTCTACTCTCTTTAAGTTTTGATCTTGTTCTTTTTGTACTTCTTTTATTCCTTATCATAACTTATCGCCATTTTCCTCTGCATGGGTAATTTATGGTAAGTTAGTCGCTATCTTTTAGCACATCAGGACTCTTTTGGATTCATCATGATTCATCAAAGTCTCGTGTGTGCCGTGTGTGCGACCTTTCCAAATCTACGAATGGAACTCGTGGATTGAAGAGTGAATCGCTGTGGTGAATAATCATGAAACATGATCTCTTTGGAAGCCCAGAGCAATGAAATTATACGGTGATTGATACCGCTTACCCGGCTTACTCGTGATTGCTCATAGTATCAGCTTGTCCACCCCAATGAATCATAATGAATCTATTTGCTTGGATTTCTGGGGCTGCTGAATCATTCAAACCGATCTAGGAAACCAGGTACGCGTAAAATCGCGTAAACAACAAACGAAAACATTCAACGGAGTCTAGCGCGAGAACAAAATGTGGAGCCAGGAGAAGGAGAAAGGGAAGGACAGCGCAGTGGTCCTTCAGCTTGCCAAAACCAAGATGCGCCGCCCTTGGCCTATGCAAAACTTTTTGGGAAAACTGAGAAGGTACCAGGATGTACCGGGTATTTTATGCACGATTGAGAACAAATGAAGAGAACTTGCAGGTGCGCATTCTTTGAGCGAGGAAAGTGCTCATCTGATACTTGCAGGCTGCCTTCTCTTGCGTGAGACCAGTCCTTGAAGCTTAAAAGCAAGACGTAAAAATAGGCAGAGATGGTAGACATGCAGAACTTCAGATGAAGTAAATTACGTTGAACAAACAGCAACAAAGCATAGGAAACATGGAGCAACCTTTGATAGGTATGCGCACTCACCTGCAGAGCTTCGTCGTCCTCCAAATCTGCAAAAGACGAAGTTGTGCAAGTGCCGCTCCCAGTTGGGAAACCTTGCTAGTTCGGAACACGACAGAAACCAAGCATTTGGAAGTTTGCTTCCACAAACCAAGTCAACCAAGTCTCAGTATCTTGTGGACAGTCAAGTCCTCAGAGCCTCACTGCAGGGCTTTCCTTCAAGGAAAATGCCGAGATGGAGAGAACTGCTCGTGGAAGCCTCGATCGCAAGTAAGCGAATCAACACCATGCTTCTGCACTTGTTGTTGAAGAATGTTGAAGACTTCTGACACAACGTGTCACGTGATGACATACCCTCCTTTTGTAATCATGTGTAAGTACATGTGATGTCAGATGATATGTCATTATGAAATTATAGGTGAATATTGCATACGCACTCTTCCGAGGTTTGCTCATGGAGACTCAGACCTCCGGGTTACTGCAGGGATTTACAAGACCCAAATGTGCAATTTCTACGAGCGTGGGCACTGCAAGAAGGTCTGCAAGTCAGCACATTCAGTTTAGTCGTTTCGATCTTCAAACTTGTTGTCTCCAACACGGAGATTCGCCTACCACTTATCTTCATGAGGGATCAAATCTCCCACCCCCTCTGAACAATATATTGAATTGGATTCTAGCTTCAACTTATCTTCATAAGGGATCAGATCCGCCGCCCCTGCGGAACGATTATTATATATTATAATATATTATATAACATGTATGTATAGGCTCGTCCCTGCTCCTGGAACCACATACGATGGGGTGGGGGGGTGGGGTGGGATGTTAACGTTCATGTGAATTAACGTGGGATGTTAACGTTCATGTGAATTAACGTTCATGTGAACTTGCAGAAGCAGTTGATGCTACGCACACGCGGGGTGGAGGGGGTGGGGTGAGATGTTAACGTTCATGTGAACTTGCAGAAGTAGTTGGCAAGCTGATGATGATGATGATGATGAGGATGATGATGATGATGATGATGATGTGATGATGATGATGCTGATGATGACGACGATGATGATGACGACGACGATGATGATGATGATGTGATGATGATGATGATGATGATGATGACCCTAATGAAACTTGTCAATTCCGCGACTAAATTTCGTCACGGAATGGACAAGTTTTACCAACCTAATTCAGGTTTGCGCGGTTCCAAGAGCAGGGACGAGGCTATGTATACATGACATGTTTACCTACATAGACGTATGGAGATCCGCCACCTTTCCACAACTTTAGGGCGGGCAAACGTCAGGGTTGCAGCGAACGTGTTTAATCAATTGCTGTAATCAATTTGATTTGAAGCTTCACTGGGCTCTCCTAGGGTGATCGCTGCAACCATGCTCATGGTGATGCAGATCTTCGGCCTGTGATTCCAAGTCCCCAAAAGACGCCAGTCAGAGAGAAAGGCAGCGTCAAGGGTTTTGGGCAACGTATAATGGATAGTATCATGTATTTGTACTATGCATGAATAAATATATCGATATATGATATATGTAGATTATATTAATATATATGTCGTTGGATCGTAGATCGCAACGCCACTGATAACGGTTCCCACCTGAATGGTTCAAGGTCCTCCTTGATCACCAGAAAGTAGTTGATGTTCAACCAAAGTAAAGTCGTTCCAACAGTGTTGTCCACAACACCAAAAATGTATATCTATCCAACCAAATCCCAAAAGAGTCCACTCTTCACCTTCCAACCAATCCTATGGCGGCACTCGAGATTTTTCCCCTATCTCGCTGAAATTGGCCTTGAGCCACGAGTCAAAAGGCACATAATGAATGTGCTTTCCCCTGACAGGAAACAATCGAAGGTGTATGCGGCAGCAGCAAGTTACGAAACTCACACTGGTCTCTTTTCTATGTTCGATTGTTTCACCCATGTGACACCATATTTTCGATTCGAGTTCTGTTTGAGGGTCATTTCTTCATCGTAGATTCTGAATCTTCCCAACTGCAAAACGGTGCGTAAGAAAGTTGAGTCCATGGACTTCGTTAGGCAGTCTGCCAACATGATAGCAGTGCTGATCCAGCGGCATTGGGTATGGTTAGCTGATTGTTCCTTCAGCAACATGACTTCTATGGTGGTACGCCACTCCTGGCAATTTGGCACTGCAGTCTTCGTGACTAAGTCATATAAGGATTTACAATCAGTGATCATTAACCCTGGTGGTTCTACACAAAGAGACTTTTCAGGTTTATGCCAAGCAAAAGAGGGATCCTTTATGTAACCCCACATGCATCTAATCCACGTTAACTTATCTAGTGAACTGGACATAGCGTATGCTTCGGCACTCAAAGTAGAACGAACCACCCTACCAATCTGTTTGGTATGCCATGCAACTGGAGAGAAGTCTGTCGTCTCATTGTTTGCTAGTTTCCGTGTGCATGCCATGATAAAAATCCCTTGCTGGGCTGACATCTGTTTGGCCGAAGCGAAGCTTGCATCACCAAAGCTTGCGAAACAGAGCTCCGTCATGGGGATCGGACGTACGATCACAGAGGTGTTGGCAAACTCTTGGGTTTCTTTGAGTACTCGATTTGCATCTAGCAGAGTTTGCACGGTCGCCTTGGTAATACCCTTCTGCAGGTGCGCAACTTTTGCGGCCACATCGGGCCGGGAATGCACTGCGGCGTATTGTAGGCTCCCGCAAATCCCCCTTAGTTTATTTAACTCCTGTGGAGTGATAGGGCTATCAACTTCTGCTCTACGGAGTTTAGGGATGTCTATGGGAGTTATTCTTTGGACATATTTTTCTTGGCTAACTTTGATAGAAAAATCCGGCAACTGTTCTATTTCAAGTCCTGTGAAACGGAATTTGCGTTTTTCATGTGAGCCGAAAGGAAGCTTTTTCTGAAGTTGTTGTAGGGCATAGCTAAATTTGTGGTTACCTGCCCCCAAACCGTCATCCACATGAGTACCCACTATCCCATTGAGGATCTTTGGATCTTTGGGGTCTCTTAACAAGTACAAACAATTGTCCAAGGGATGTGCGGTGAAACCTACTTCTTCTAAGCATTTCCGAAATTCGCGATAGAATAACAAAGGGGCATCTACCCGTCCATAAGCATTTCCTTCTAGTAGGCAGATCTGATGTTTTTCCATTCCAAGCAGTTCTCTCAACTCCTTTGGGGGTTCCATTGCTAGTTGACGATCATCGGATTTCCCTCGTAGAAAGGCAGTAGTGATGTCAAAGCTTTCAATACACCATTTGTGGCTGGCAGCTGTCTGGAGTAATAACATCCTGCCATCTCGGGTGAGAGTGGGACTATCGGATGCTAATTCCCCAATGTCGGGGTCCTGAAAACCTTTTACCACAAGTCGTGCTTTTGGTTTCTTTCCATCTTCGCTATTTTCATCTTCCTTCCAAGTCAGTATCCATCTAGAGGCTAAAACTCTGGAGGGGTGAATTTTATCCCGAACTATGGTTCTTACCGTTTGAGTATCCAACCAACAATTCAATTCCTTCAACTTGGCTTGCTTGAACCTCTCTCTCTCTTGGGGTGTCAAGTCACTGTAAACAAGTTCTTTCCCAAACTTGCGGGCTGCGGCATTGACCTCTGGCAGGTGCTCTTTGGGAGATTTGAGGAACTTATGGAATTGTTGTTTTGGCATTTCAAACTCAAAAGACACACACGCTGCTTCGCAAGGGTCGGGCATTGACCAAAGAGCGCCATCGTCATGAACACAGTCTGTCGTCTCGGTATTCTTCTCGATGATAACAGCATTATACACAGGTTCCATGTTACTCGGAGTTTCATTTTCCGACTGATCTGTGTCCAATGATGCAGTGTCAGGAGCAGATTGTGCCAGGCTCGGGCTTGGAACCATTGATTCAGGGCTTTCTTCACTATTGGAAGAAAACGGGGAGTCTGGAACAGGCGTTTCGACCGCAGGGTCGTGCATGGTTTCGTCAGGAATTTCGATCTCACCTCGTTGGCGTCTGATTGGTTCTTCCTCTGGTTGTCGAGAGGTCGAAAGTTCGCTATTGCCATCGTTTGCCTCTTCTTCTGTTGGAGGATTCACCTCAGATAAATCGGAGTATTGAAACATGCCACTCTTTTCTTTCAACTGTGTCTGTAAACGTTGTGCCATTTGTTTCAATTCTTCTTGGGTATTTGAAGTTGTAAAAGTGGAGTGTCTTTGAAATTCACGCATGGAAACTGGTCTGAGATTTTCATGGGCACATCTTAACAACCGATTCATGTGAGTGATCCATATGATTGTTCTTGATTCCTGGCAAACTACCTGTGCTGGACCACACCATCGTCCTTTCTCCAATATGTTCGGGGCTTTTCGTTTATCCCAAAACATGCACAACTGTCCACACAGCCATTCATGTATCACACCTCGTGACCTATGAAGGGCTGCTCTGCGAATTGCAGCATGATTGTCAGCATGCCAGAAAGCTGCTCTTGCGGCTGTCCGCAATTCAAGACTTCGCTTAAACTGCTCGGATGCTGGGTCGGGTGAAAGGCACATGTGATGAGCAGTTGATTCTTCGTCTGAGAGTAGTGACCCAGGAAGTTTAGAGGCCTTACCTAGTACAGCTTGTTCTGGACTATATCCGTTATTCACTATCATAGAATTTTTCGCTCGGAAACACTGGTTAAGAGCCTCATCTATTTCAGCTAGACTGGTGAAGTTCTGTGCATGGTCCATTCTTTCAAGCATTTCCTTGATCACACCTCCATGTCTCTCGATACGACCACGTTGCCACGGAGCGGCAGTGAGCACTGGCTGAATGCTGTGGGCTTGCAAAAAATCTTTCCATGGCTGGGATACAAACTCTCCACCTTGATCATGTAGTATTTCCTGTGGGGATCCTGCCCATTGAATCCACATCTGTTTCGTTGTACGGATGGAGGCTTGGGTATCCCGGGTTATCCTTTGACCTAAATGGAAACGGGTAGCATCATCTAGGATATGGAACACATAGATTTGAATACCCCTTTTACTACACCAGTCAAAACCATCCAAAAGAATTCTTTCATTAAAATCCTTCGGGTCTTTGAGTTGGCCGGGAGTAGTCTTTTGTGGTGGGTGTCTCTCAGCGCATGACGGACACACAAAGTCGGCAGCACCTTCCACCAGGTGTTCATGTGCTTTGGATTCCTTTAGATGTCGGGCCAGTCTTTCGGCTGTGGGGTGTCCTAGATTACTATGAATCTTGCGCAACATGGACTGTTGCTCTCGAGTAAGTTTCAGGAAATTTGGGCCTGAAACAGTGGCACTTAAAGGAGTCCAGCTGGGCACATCTACCTGCACTGGTGGACTGGCTGTTGATTCAGCGGCTTTTGTCTCAATTGATCCATTGGCGGGATCGGCTGCTGGCAATATAGGTGTATCAGGTCGGCTGTCATCTCTGGAAAACAAACACAACATGATATGGCTTGGCACCTCTTTTCGACAAGCCCTTTTCCGAGTTAATTCGCTCCAAACTTCAAGTCCTAGGTCAATTATTTCATGAGTGAATCTTTTCTGTACTATGCTATGTCTTTTCGGCAGCTGATCTCTCCAAGCCTCTTCGCCCAACAAAAGACGATCTAGGCCTTTTCCTGCTTTGACTGCACCAATGTTCTCATGTGGAAACAGTTTCTGAATTTCCTGGAAGACTTCATCTTGCGGGTCTTCCCAAGTGACAACACCTGATTTGGGAAGTTTTCTCTGTAGAAATTCAAACATTGGTTTCCACACGTTCGTGGTGTCGTGTGGTGCAGAGGCTTCACCAGAGTTGGTACGTGCCCTTTTGGCAGGTGGCTCTATTTCATCTACATGGCAAATTGGCGCCTCATAGGGGCCTTGGGATGTTTGCATGATTCCACGGACAATGGTCAGCGCAAGCTTGCGTGGATAGAAAGCAGCAAACCTGGACACGGAAATGCTATGACCCTTCCACTGACATCTTCCTGCTATGGTACTATGACTATGTTCACGATTGCAAACACGGCAGTCCAAAACGGAAAACATCTCAACTGAGGTGGTTTGTATGCGAGTGGATTTTCTCATCAACTGATTTTCACTCGGATGTCTCAGGCCAAAAGCACATTGGTCCAGCTGGGCCGGAATGGAACGCTTCAAAAACGGCTGTATCTCCTGCTGCTTCCAAACGCCGGAGGTTTTGGGACTTTCGAGATGGGTGTGTCTACCTTCATCATGCTGAATCTGAGCTACCACATTACACAACACCAGGTGTTCTTTGGCAAGACGTTGTTGGTGCATGACTTGTTCAAAACTTGATAGGCTCATGGAGTTAAAACGGTTCCAGGCACACCAAGGACCACATTCCGGTGCAAGCCAAATATGTTTTGGTCTCTGTGTCTTGATGATGTGAAATAAAGCTCTTCTTCCAGTAGGTGTTGATAAATCCCCATCCTCATATGTAAACCTCCTTGCTCGCAAACCATGTTCTTGCGCCACGGTGGTCAACATGCTGTTCGGGAACGCATACACTTCTAGGATGTCCAACTGTTCTGACTTGTGAGAACTACTTTCTGAGTCAGGCTGTTGCATTTCATTCCACAGTTGTCTTTCTTTGAAGCTAGATTTATGTGACATCCTAGAATCTTGAAATTCCTCCCAATTGCCTCTCATGGAACCGGGTTGTTGGCCAATTGCTCCAGTTGATTGCGAGCTCGAGCATAGCTTGCGAAATCTGCCACATCCTCGGAAAGGTTGTCGGCTCTGGCCAGAATCCACTTGATGTAACCTGGGTCGGACTCGTACACATGGGCGTAACGAGACCTCAGATGCTTTTTGCCAAAGCCCACGATCTTGTTTCCCCAGCTTTCGAGGGATGCTTGAGTCACCATCAATTGGCTTCCAATCTCGGAAGCTGCGTAGGACGATCCTGGGCTTCCCATCATTGCAGCTGGTGGTCGGGCACTTGGTGTCATTGACACATGCGGCATGGGCTGTCTCACTGGCATTGGAGGAGGCTGATTGTTGGGAACTCTGACATTCATCATCACAGCAGACATCGATTGGGAAGAATTTGGCACCGTTGATGCAGCTTGGCCTTGTGATGGCACCATCTCGGCTTCCCATTCGAAATCTTCTGATCCTGGAACATGGTTCACCGGGCTCACGGTAGGTCCTGGACATGTGGGTGGCTTCTGTTGGAACTGAGCTTGAATCAGATTCCCCAACTGATCGATTGTCCGACGTTGTTGGGCCACTTCGTGAATCAGCTGATTCACCGGATTCATCTGGAGCTCCGTGGCTTCCTGGTTCGGGTCGATCGCACTGGTCATGGTGAACACAATGGTCATCAGGAGCTTCAGACTGGCTAACACTTCCTCTGCCACTGTGCGAAGAGCATCGAGCACTTCCTGGCGTGTCGGCATGACTGACAGGAATCTCACTTTCCAGACCTGGAGGCGGGGCACAGACACTTGATGCGACAAAAGCTGCTGCATTGGACTTGACATCAGGTTGACAAAGATCGGACATGTCAATCATGAACAACCCATTCTTGTTTTCTTTCAAATACAGTGACCTTTGCAGTGTCTTGAGGAAACATGTATTTTGTCCTAGGTCTATCATGGCTCCTAAACTCTTCATGGTCTTAATAGACAGCAGGAAAGGTGTGGCCTTCGGCACTACTTCAATTAGCAACCAGATTCGGATTCTCTTGTGGACCAATGGTATGCGCAGCTGTTTGTAGCTATATGCAACTTGGTTATTTCCAAAACGGAATCCTACTCTACTGGGCTTTTCCACGACTTGGTCACGGACACTGGCTGGCAGTTTTTGGAGCATCGCGGGGACATGGTCTTGTCCGATCACACTGCGACTGGCACCTGTGTCCAGTATGGCCATTCCTTGACTTTGCATGGCATCTGAGTGATTCTGGCTGACAAAACCATCGGCTCTATTGGTTGGTCTCGGATGCATCTTCCTGGCGGCATGGGTGTGGAGTGCTGTGGTCACCACTTCTGGTTTCAGAACATTCTCCGGACCACAATTCTTTGTTACCCCATTATACCCAATAACCCCTTTATTACCCCGCTTATACCCCGGCTTATCCAGTTTCTTACCCCAAAAGGCTTTCACGTCTTCAACATTTTGTTTGCACAAAACTGAATTTCGGTGGCATGAGGCAACGAAACAGGTTTCACAACGGATGCACTCCTGTTCACTCAACGCTTCAAAGACCACTTGGTTGGTCTCCTCTTCGGCATCGGATGCTTCGGATGGCATGGAGAAGGCAACGTTGGCTGACTCACGGGTTTCTTTCCTCTGAGGGCATTCTGCACGCCAATGCCCAAGGGCACCGCAAAGCTTGCAATGCGTTTTCGCAATGCGAGCCAGCAACTCTTCTTTTCCAGACTTTCCACCACCTTTGCGGTATGGCCGGGATCCATCTTTGAACCCACCTTTCCCTTTTCCTTTTCCAGTGGGCCAAAACCCTCGGCTACGACGGCGATCATTGATCCTCTGCCTAGCCTCATTGTATGAGACCATTGCTTGTTGCATATCAGGAATCTCTTGCAGCATCTCTTCGAAATCACGCTCAAACTGTTGCACTACGTTGGCATCCTCATCTCCCTGAGACACTAGGTATTCCAGATGCTCGGTTGTCAAAACATCCTCTTCCTCATGGTATGCAACGTAAGTGCTCTGAACCGGAAGGCTTTCATCAGATTGGGCAGGTGGCTCTTCCACCTCTGTGAAATTGATTGGGTAAATCTTTTTCTTGGTTTCACCAGGGCCCATCAACACACGTGTGGACAACGACCTCATGGCTTGGTCAACTGCGGTCAGATCCAGCTTACCACCTGTCATCGTCAGGATTTTCTTTTTGTCTTCAGACGACAAACCTGACTGTCTCAACATCACGAAGGCTTGCATTTGTTTGACAGTGACATCATCACCTATCTCATTGAATGCAGCTTGAAGGCGAAGTGAGAAACTATGGGAGGCCTCATCAGACTTCTGTACTACCTTGTAGAGTGCTCGTTCAAACAGTTCATACGTTTTCATCTCTGATGTTTCTTCCCAAGCTGACAAAGCGGCCAACAAGTATTCAACACCTGAGTCGGCCTTGGTGAGCTTCTTCGGATCTAACTGACGCACCTGGGACCAAGCTGTCCCTTTACACAACATAGCTAACCTGGGAGCTAAGTTGGGCTTGTCCTTCTCGGGCATGACACCGTGGATGAACCTGGCTTTCTGTGAAAACTCTCGTATGTCATCTTCACTCGGGTCAAAACTGGGCAGCAAATTCCAAAAATTGGAACCCTGCTGGGAGTCACCGTTCCCATCAGTTGAGGCAGACTCTTTAGGAGGCATTGCTCACTATCCAGAAGCCACAAAACTAGCGGGCCGGCTTTGCGTGCAAGTAGCACGAGCCTCTAGGCTCCGCTACCAGTGTCGTTGGATCGTAGATCGCAACGCCACTGATAACGGTTCCCACCTGAATGGTTCAAGGTCCTCCTTGATCACCAGAAAGTAGTTGATGTTCAACCAAAGTAAAGTCGTTCCAACAGTGTTGTCCACAACACCAAAAATGTATATCTATCCAACCAAATCCCAAAAGAGTCCACTCTTCACCTTCCAACCAATCCTATGGCGGCACTCGAGATTTTTCCCCTATCTCGCTGAAATTGGCCTTGAGCCACGAGTCAAAAGGCACATAATGAATGTGCTTTCCCCTGACAGGAAACAATCGAAGGTGTATGCGGCAGCAGCAAGTTACGAAACTCACATATATATATATATAGAGAGACACAGAATATATGTATATATAAATATATATATATATATAGATAGATACATACATACACAGTGACATATAACATGATACTGCAGCAACTGATGCCACTTGCTGTCAGTCTCTTAAGCTTATTAATTGTCCAGAAACTGCTTAAAACTTTAAATGATTTCGTACTGCAAGGTCTTGGTGGTTACTGCTTCTATCCCAGGTCCTTGAGTCCTTGATTTTGTTTGTACCGTTTTCTCTTCCTGCCTTGGCAGTGGCAGGTAACTTGGGTGCCCTGCAGACACCAGATGCAAGGACACCTCCCAAGGTTGAACAAGGAGCCAAACTCACCAAACCAGCCAGGAAATCCAAGATCCTGGCAGATCCTGTTAGATCCTGTAAGAATGTTAGATCCTGTAAGAATTTTGAGAATAGATACATTAAATACATACACTACATGATTACATGTGGAACTATTCATGGAGACCCACAGAGCTTGAATCTTAACAAAACAAGAGAAATCACTGGCAACGGACCATACCAAAATGCATATCTCGATGCTATCATGCTTTTGAAGGAGAAGTCATAGGTGTCGCGGGGTGTGTCACAGGAGAACGCAGTCCTCCATCAAAAAAGGAGCGCCTTCCGCTCGCAGATTTGCTGAACTCACAGGACATTGGGTTCGGTTTGGACTTTTGAGTCCTAGGAGTCCTGAGTCATTAAGGGCGTCATTTTGGCATATTTTGGCTTAAGGGAATTTTGAGCTTTTCAAAGTCTGACTTTGATAGGATCCACGGGATGGCCCAAGTGTGCTGAGCCAAGAGTTCACTGACAGATCAAATTGATCAACATCCAGACATCGAGTACGGAAATCCAACGGAAATCCAACGTTTGAGGTAGCAGATTTGGCAGCTCTGGCCTTCGCTCCACCGCCTGTGCCACTTTCATGGACATCGTGACCCAAGATGTTGACACATGTTGATACATGAACACGTGCATCATCGAGTCACCATACACACGATCCCGCAGGTTTACATGTTTCGGTTGCTGACCTTTTGGATCTTGGGCAGGTACCAGCTCTCTCCCAGCACTTACGGTGCTGCTCTCAAGAGAAGAGCCATGCAATGTGTCGTCATTGGAAAGGGCGCTGAATGGCGCTGTGGTCTCACAGGCGAACTGACACCACTGAGAATGTTGGATCCTGCTGCAGACTCAGAGCCACACCGCAAACATTTGCACAATTTGGATCAATTTGGCAAAAGACCTACTTTCGCGCTCCGTCAAGATGTCACCCAGAACCTGAAGCCTGTCATGGCGAGGTTGACATGCTCGTTGACACAGATCGTCGGGAAATGTCGTGAACTTATATACTCATGATGGATTTGATGCGTCAAGATATGTCGGTATCTAGTTGACACATGTTGACACTAGATCTAGGCGTCTAAAGAGTCTAAAGACATCTAAAGACTGCTGACTCGTGGGGTCAGTGATGCGACTAAACTGGACATGATTGGCTTGAGTCGAGCCCGTCACCGGAGGGTGAAATCAACGAAGGATGGGCCTTGGAAGCGCAATGCCTTGGATGCCGCCCGAAAAGCTTTGGCCTTCGGCACCTCCCGGTCTTGGGCCTCATGAGGCAGGATGGGTCAATTATATTCAATTACCATTCAATTACCATCAATTACACAATCTATATCAGGTCCATATCAGGTCCATACCCGTCCATTGTCAAGTTCAGACGGTTCAGACGGTTCAGACGGTTCAGACGGTTCAGACGGTCCAGACGCACGGGCCAAACATGTTCTGTCGATGTTTTGCCGGTCTGTGCTCGCGTTATGATTTTTCTAGATTTTTCTTTTGGCTTCCGGGAGGAAATGGATCTGTGCGAGAGTCGGTCTCCAAGCACCAAGACATGTCGTGAAGAATTTCAGACAGCTCTCAAGTGGAGTTCTTGCTATGCTGCTATCAGGTCAGGGAACTGTGAGGAGTCTATTCTCCCAGATGGAGGGAAGCGCAGAGCTTGAGGGAGACAGTACTGAAAGGGCTGTCTTCCAGGAACTTCATGATCAAGAAGCAAGTTGGGGCAAGGGGTCAGACGCTCTGCTCGGCGAAAGTGAAGATTCATTGTCAAAAAGCCTGGCAAACCTGGACAATATGCTGCAGGTGCCGCGGAATTGTTGACGCGATTCAGATGACCTGTGAATGTTTGACTGCATACATCAAGTTGCGCTATTGTTCGATTTTCATTTTGTTTGAACCTGGAGCACTTCAGGGGTTTGCGTCGGACGTCGCACATTTGGTATCACGCAGGACTGGAGTCTTCTTATTGAAGACTTTGCATGTATTTTGTGTGCCTCCTTTAAATGTGCACATGTACACTCAGAGTGGTGTTTGATAAGGATCTGTATGCGTATGGAGCATGTGATTATGATGAATTGTATGATGAATTATATATAGACTAATATAGACTATGTATAGATTTGGATCTGTGCTTGAAGTAGCGCCTGTGTCCGGCTCGAATTTTAATCTCAGGAGGTGTTGAGCGCAGAGCTACAGAGTGAACACTTTTTGCGACCTCCACTGGTGGATTTTTTGTCGGACTTATTGTCCATTGTCCCAATGTCTCACCAGGGCATCAATACCAAGCAGCAGTGATGTTTTATGACAAATCAATGCCGCACCTTGGCACCACTAGAGATTCCAGATTATCGTCGTTTGGACGTTTGGACGTTTGGACTTAGCTTCGTGTCTGTGCTTTATTTGTTTGCTTGGAGATGAAGTAGTGGAGTTAAAGCAATCTACAGGGGCCCTTCTCAGCGTCTAGGGGTGCGCTGAATGTACCTCTGGCTTTGACGCTTGTAGTTTTTTGATCACTGATGAGCAGACTCATGTAATTGTTCCTAGATGAGGTGGTTTGTGATTGCAAAGTGCGAATATGCCCGGGCTATATATATATATATATTTATAGAGATACAAATAGCTAGGCAAGTGCTAGGCATTGATAGCTTCAATCAGATATGACCAGATACCTGCAACGATCCTGGTTCTCATTGGTTCTCTTTCGTACAAAGTGTACGACGATGCCAGTGCAATCACCTCTTGGACAAGTTCTCTGTGCGCAGAGCAGCCTCCCCTCACAGTGCTTCAACGTGGAATCAGAGCCAGACAAGTGCTGTTCTTCGGCACGAAGATTTTGTGAATCCGTGATGATTCGCAAGAATTCTTTGGTTTCTGACATTTCGATGCCGCCAGGGATTTCTTTGTCACAGCTTGTTGTCAAGTTCAAGCTGGTCGATGGTCAAGGCATGTCAAGGCAGAAGAGACAGCACTTCAAAATGCCAACAGAATAAGCCAAGTCTGTACCAATTTGCGGACAGGGCCCCGCAGGGCCCGGCAGGGCCCCAGTGATCCGAGTGGTCTGTGAGATGGCCAACTGCTTGTGGGGTTTGCAGGTGGCAAAAGTGCGCTTCAGCAGCTTCAGGGCAACGCTTCGATAGTTTCCTTTTTAGTTGCTTTCAATCGCTTTCAATGTGAATTCTGTGAATTATGTGAATGCTCTCTTCCTGTCATGGCGTCCGCATTTCTTACATTAGAAGTTGGTAGCGCTGCCGACCAACGACAGCTTTTGTGGCTCCTGCACTTGAACCAAAGAAACATGGCGTGCAAAAATCCTCTAGCCAGCTGTACTGGCTGTACTGACAGCGCAAGGTTTGATCCCAGAATTCCAAGCTTCACAGCTTCATAAATAGACGCAAATTGCACTCCGATTGCAATGCTTCTGATGTTACAACAAAATCAACAAGCCTCCAGAAGCATCCGCAAGAACCAAAATGGAAAAGCACAGACTTTCCAGCATCCAGAACGCTTGAGCCTTCGATCCTTAGACTTTCTGCAAGTTACGATGTATTGGACTTGAGGGCACTTCGAGACTTGCACACTGAAGCTTCGATTGCCACGTCCAAAGGGGCATGGCAAGTTCCAAAGGCACCAAGGACAGCAGCATCACGGAAGTCAAATGGAGGTGAACAAAGTACAACCATTGTACAACCATTGTACAACCTATACACCAAGTCGTACGAGACTCTTCTGATTCTTCTGAGCAAAGTTGTAGAAACTAGAAATTCCATGGCATCTCAGGACAAGTCACACAAGAGTGACTCCAAGAAGGAAGCCTCGAAGACTAAAAAAGAGCCTAAATCTAAGAAGGACAAAGACCACAAAGACCACAAAGACCACAAAGACCACAAAGACCACAAAGACCACAAAGACCACAAAGACCACAAGAAAGAGGAAGAAAAGCCCGAACGGCCCGAACGGCGAGAAGGTGGGGATGAATCGGGATGAATGAGAAATGCACTGACCGTTTCTGCTTCATGTTGCTTCATGTTGCTTCCACACCTGTGCTGTACGGCTATCTGAAGTGCAGAGCAATTCAGCAAGTTGTCAAGGTCGAAAAGAAACGAGCAAGGTCAGGCGCCCCAAAAAATTGGTTCAGAGTGGCCTAGACGGCTCCGGCATTGAGGGCATGTATTAAGGCATGTACAAATATCGCAAACAACAAATCAGGGTTCCACATGGTCCAGGTTCAATGGGTAGTTTCAAGCGAGTCAGAATATTGCCTAAGTGCATTCTTCATTCGTTTGGAGCCTGGAACTGCCGACAAGTTTTGGCCGCTGAGGTCAATGAGATGGCACCCAAGAAACGAAAGGTAGAGGACGTCGTCCTGCTGCCCAGATTTGCCTTCGTCCAGTGGCCTCTCCTCGACCTGTGTTAACCAAGGAAGTTCCCGACAAGAAACGGAAGAAGAAGGACAAGATGGACAAAACTGAAAAGGGAAGAGACGGCAAAGACAAAGAGAGAAGCAAAGTGAAGGACAGCATGACGATGTGCCGCAGTGGAATGATACAATGTGCAAGATCATCATAGAATAGCTACATGTATAGTTGGTTATAGAATATATTATTGTAAATAATTGAAATTATATTTGCAGACATATTCAATGCAAGCACTCTGATACAGCAACTGAGTACGTCTGAGTGCTTCTTTTGGAAGGATGTTGAAGACTCTGTTGAAGCTGATCGCAGACGTTTGCAAGGGGGAGCTGCAGATATGGTAAATGGGGGAGTGCAAAAAGAAAAACAAAAGGAAAAAGAGGCGAAAAAGGACAAGAATGGGAAGCATGCAAAGCATGATGCGAAGCGCGATGCTAAGCATGATGCGAAGCATGAGCGGAGTGGGAAACTTGGAGAATCCAAAGACAAACCCAAGCGAGACAGACATGGACCATGCGCAGCTGAAGCCCTAGATGAGGAGGTGCAAGGAGGTAGCACTGGCAGCCGTGCCATGCCTTCCAAAAGCAGATCTCCAGCGAGAATTCAGCTGAAATCGTCCCCGGAAGCTGAAAAGGTTTCAGAAAAGGCACCAAAGGCACCAGAACCTGTGAAACCTGTGAACCCCCAGCAGAGTTCTGACCATAGTGACAGTGAGTCCTCTGGTGAAAGACGTCGAAAACGACGAGAACATGCTGGGCTAAAGGCAGCCTCTGGCTTTGGCCTTGCACCGTCTGAGCCCCAGCTGTCACTACTGGAGGAACTGTTTGCTTCTTTATCTTCTTGCATGATCATCATAATCTTTGCATGTCTCTGCATTCCTCAAACTGTCAAATTCATTCCAGTGCTTGGCCTCAAAAGAGATTGAAGCTCATCTTCTCACATTCATGGAAGTTCATGGAAGTGGAAATTCCTGGTGTTTTGAACTGTTTTGAACTGTTTTGAACTGTTTTGATAGTTTATAGTTGCACCGAGTCTACCCGGTAGACTGCATGGATCATACGGTATGCTGTGTACATCTGTGTTACCCTGTCCAAACAAATGAAGTGATACGAAGTCGCCGTGCAAGGCCGCCTCCCGCTCCGGCCGGGGATGCCTTTGCTTCTTGGATTCTTGATATTCTTGGAGCGTGTTTGTGCAACTTGACTTGCGCAACTTGTGCAACTTGTGCAACTTGTGCCATTTGCGCAACTGCAATATTTCAAACATGTCAAACATGCCAAACATGTCAAGCCTATGCCAGATGCGTGCTGTCTTTTTCTCGCCAGTGTCGGCAAGTTTCACCTCATGCCGTCAGAACCAAGGCTTCCGGTGCAGTGATGTGCGCCTGTGAAAATTGGCAACCTCAACAAATCTAATGGTGGAAACACGGGGTGATTGTCCGGACAGTGACTGGAAACTGTGAGGTGCCCACGGTTGCAGGTACGGGCCCGCAGGTCCCTTGGTACCCCTGCCGGAGAAGGTGCCGTTGGCCTGTGCTGCAGCTTCTTTTGGTGTTCCAATATATTCCCCATCCGATCCTCATCTGCATCGTGACTGTCATGACTGTCATGACTGTCACACTGTGAGGTGAAGGGTCTCCTTGAACATCAGGCCTGGCGGGAGGCCTCGGGGGCCTCGGGGCTTGCCTGCACTCCTAGCCTTGCCGAGGATTCGTTGGCGCAGGAGGTGATGCGGATGAAGATGGCGGTGGAGGCACTGTCCAATGTCCAATGGATTCCAATGACACCGTCATGGCCACGGCTGTGACATGGACCGAGGCGGCTACAGGAGTGCCTGGAGCCAGCATGAAGCTTGATACCAAAGAAGATCCTGCTGAGACGGTGTTGTCCTCAGACAGTTTAAGACATTGAGGACTAAGCGTAGGACATAAGTTTGATCTGGACTAAGCGTAGGAAAGCCGAAGAACAATGACAAGCATCGAGTGAGCAATGATTAGGCTTTGTCTGGGACACCTTTAGAAACTGAGCCCAAAGATTTTTTTTTCGCTGTGGGACACCGCAGACCTTGAAGATGCCGACTCGACTTACCGATTGCTTGATGGAGCCTGAAAACCTGGCAAAATTGCTCGCAAAGACCGGGCTCCTGTCAGCAACACTGAACCAGGACGGCTTTTTTTCCAGTTTTCATTATCACCGTTGCATTCATTGAATTTGAATGAATTTGAATCTATTTAACAAATTTTAACAATATATACGACTCAGTTCAAACTCCAAACATTTCTTCGCTTTCTGGCGTGGTTTGCATTCTCCTGGCCATGGGATGTTTGTGGCACGTCTCGACAGTACTGAATGAACTTGGCTTCCAGTAATATTTCTTTGGACAGGAGAAACATCTGATATTGCGGGCAGCTTCTCGCAAACAACTGCAGAAAACACTTGGTCAACTGCGCCGGATCGCGCAGGATCCCCAGTCCCCTTTTGCTCTGATCTGCCAATGTGAAATTGAGAAGACTGCTGACTGATTCAAGTGCTGCAGAACTTCAGAGATGAATCGCTAATCGGTTTGAACTGCTGCTAGGTGGGCGTGCCAGTGGGGCTGCAGCTCTTCAAAGGCACGACCGAGCTGCAGATGTTCGCAGAGAAACAACCTGGCATCGAAAATGCGACAGGTTGGTGCTTTATTGGACGGTAAACCAGTAGCAGCCTTATGGAAGGTTATGCTCAGACAGAGCGATTGTTGGAACATGGTGGAGATGGATTCATGAACGGCTTGAAGAGACTGTAAGGGACTGGGAGGATTGGAATGCCAACACTGGCTGTTTCTGCTACACAGACATCTTTCTGTGCCTTGTGGTGCCTTGTGCCTATTGGCTTTTAGATCTTTTAGTTGGCTTTGAGAGCATTTCTTTAAACTTCTTTAAAGCTCTTTGGTCTTGAGGCAAAGGCTGTGAACTCCATGGTCTTGCGCCTTGCTGCCACGTCCAGCCGTCTGTCGTCCCATGATGTCATGAACTCAGAGGCGCACTTCTAAGCTGTTGCATGGTGAAAGAGAGCAGTTGCCAGGTTGGGCTGAAGATATTTCAAGTATATATTATATATGTTCAAATGCATTCACAAGACATGGAACGTCGCTGTCCATTCTATGGAACGAGATGAACGAGCACTTAAAGCTAGACCCAATGAGGCCTGGAGGCTCAGGCTTCATGTCCGTTGATGGTGTGCCTAGGCAAAGCTCAATGCCAAAATGCGGAAGATTCGTCTAGGGACGCAGGTGGCTCCGGGTTGACATTTGCGTTGCTTTGCAGTCTAAAACTGCTTGGTGTACTGCGTGTGCCCGAGCTTGAAACTCATCCTGAGGCTGGTACTGGAATGTTGGTGTTGGAAGGCATCCCTGGGCTTTCTCGGAAGCATTGTTTCATTCTTAGCCTGATCATTTACTTAGTGCAGAGTGCATGTCATTATTTGCTGGCCCAATTCTGAGGCACCATCACCTTTGAACCAGAGAAAGGCGCCTGCTATGTGCAGGAGCCATGGCAGTCGGCAGCTTTCAACGACACTTCCTTCAGCTGGTCGTTCTGGTCGTTGTGTTGGCTGAGTTGCGGAGGATGTTTCTACCAACGGCACCTACCTGAACGGCAAGCGCCTACCAAGACCACCCTTCAAGAACCCTGCGGACTGTGTTGTGTGCTGTGGAAGGGCCGCGCAGTTGCCTCTACAGAGTGACAGAGTCTGAGAAAGCTACACAGACAGGACGCCAGAGTGCGACTTTTCCATGGGGATGAGTTGCTCTTTAAGTCGCTGCCCAAGTTGCAGAGACAAGATGTCTAGAGTTTAGACATGGATGTACTATACCTGAAGCAAAGTCTGCAACTTTTTGAAGGGTTGTCAAGTCTGAAACGGATGGCGAGTGGAACCATGATGATGCATGCCTCGCTTCACTTTTGGATGTTTGCAGCTCCCAAGGCTACGAACTGATGATGCAGAGGAGTTAGGTTATGTGAGCACCTTAGCTTCGGGTGATGATTCTTGCGGTGACAGGTTGTGCGTTGTTCGATTTGGAAGGATTCCAACGATGTTCAAAGGCAGTTTCTCAGAAGTGCCTCTTCAGGTGATCAATTTGGTGGAGCTTAGTTGAAGACACAGCGGAACCTGTGAAAAGTGCTGAGACATGCTGAGACACTCCACACAGATCGAGTGATGATTGAGACATTGTGCGCAGCAACAGCATATGATGGCATATGACAGCATACATCTTGAGATTCTTGAGTCTCGTGCTCTGTAATCCTTCGCTGATTTAGGGTTCCATTGGGTTCCATTATAGAAAGACCGCAAGGACCACAGGCCTTGAATCCCCGTGGATCAGCCATGGCATTTTTGAGCAAAGAAGACCTGCTTCAAGTCCGAAAGCCACTGTAGCAGTGCTCTTTGTTGCACTCAAAGCACACGAACCAGTGAAAGATAGTGATAATGGACACATGTGTGCAAGTTCTCTATTCAATTATATATATATAGTATTCCATATTATTCCTCAAGTTGCTGAACACGCCAACCATCTTTCTAATTTGCCAATGACTACATTGCCTCCCGTGCGACCTCCAGCGAAAGCTGGGCGGAAGGGCAAGCATTCTCAGCGGACGTTGCATGGAGCTCAGAGGCATGGGTGCAGTGGGACCGGATAGGCCTGAATCTTCACAGACAGATCTTCCATATTCCACAAATTCCACAAAATCCACAAAACTTTCACATTTTGAGGATTTTGGAGGATTTTTGAAGATTGTATAGTTTTTTGCATGATTTCCTTGCTTTTGCTTCATGGAATGTGGAATGTTTTTCATGTTGAGGATTGTGGTATGATCTTCCATCTTTTTTTTAAACAAATCTTTTTAAATTTCTTTCATGTCTTTCATATTTTTTTCATATCTGGAGCCGACAGAGAGCTGAGGCTGGATGCGACAGATCTCCCGGCGCCTGGTTTTGTCCAGGCCTTCTGCGCCAGTCAGCAGCTTTCTCAGGCCATCGCAGCAGAGCGCCATTGCAACGCCAACGGCCAGGCCAGCACGGACTGCTGTGGTGATGTGGTCTGATGTGGAACGGTGGAACGTGTTGGTGTCGGTGTGATGGTGGTAATCTATGGTATTCTGGGGCAGAAGAATCTGGATTGTTAGTGTTTTTCTGCTGTTCTCAAGCACCTTTCCAACCTTGAGGCGGCCTACCTGAAGAAGAAGTACGCACCCGGCTTGCTTGATTTTTCTATGAAGAAGCCTTTTTTAGGATCGAAAAGGTGCCATTGTGCCACTTTCTAATTTGCCAGGCAGCAGCAGCTTGCATATGTTGAAGAAGCACATAAGCGAGAACAGCCTCCTCTGGAAGCGATCGCAGCCCCAGAGATCCTTCGGGGAGAATTGTGTGGACCTCAAGTGGACCTCAAGTCACATATTTTGTTTGCATATTTCATATTTTGCCTGAAGAGTTGCCGCCGAGTTGTCGCAGAGTCCTGTGTGTATACACTGTGTTGGTACTCAATGCACATCAGCTAGGGGAAAACAGAGAGCCGGCTGTGTTGGTACCAAGGAGACGCGATGCTGTGTTTCATCATGGAGCAGCAGGGGTTCCAGCTCCATTGACTGGAGCTGCAGCTTTGGATATTTGTGACCTTAGAGGTGGCGGTGTTCCGATGGTCAAAGTTGGCAACGAGGCTTTTGTATGCAGAGAAAAACGCCTTGAGAATCAAAAAAACTTTTTGGCTTCCAGAAAAGTTCGTCACGATGCTGCTCTGGAAGAGTTTCAACGTGCTGTAGATGTTCTTTCAGAAGAATGTCAACAAGAAGTTGAAGGAGCTACAACCAGAGTGAAGAAAGACCTGGAAGAAAAAGTGGTCGAAAGCAATGCAATTTTAGAGCCTTTAGAACCACCTCCGCTTCCAGAAAGACCGGAAGGGGAAGAACCTTTGGTGCTGGATGAGACCACCCTTTTGGACGAGTTGCATGACTTGCCCTTGGATGGAACAATTGATCCTGCCAAAGCCAAAGCCGTGGCGGCAGAGAACGCCGCATTGAAAGCTTTGAGAGCGTTGGGAGAGCGTACGGAAGGAGAAGTTCGGGGCATTCTCAAAGCCGTGGAGGCCTGAACATGCCTCAACATACAAAAAGTCACTGCAGTGCTTGTTCACATCAAAAAATGCAATAGTCAGTAGTCATTATCAATCATTATTGTTGTTGTCATTATTACATATTACCACATATTACTATTGTCATCCATTCTTGCATGTTTGACCTTGGGGGTGGCTAGTGCAATAACCGAAGAACTGCAATGATCACGGTTCGAACCGCGAGGCTTCGACTTTGACGCGAAAGAAGCGGATCGAATCCTTCGCTGGTGCAGAAGGTGAGCTTGCGCGAATCGACCAGCTCCGCAAGTCCAAGATGGAGGCATCGTCAGTGTCACCGTCTCAAGTCACACTGAATCACACTGAAACCCAAAAAGAAAAAAACACTTGATGAAAATCAAAAAATGAACTGGAACATCCATGAATGCTCAAGAAAAAATGCACATAGACACCGCCCATAGACAGTGCAAGCTGATGCAAGCCGGTTGAACAGCTTGTTGAACAGTGATGCACTTTGTTGCTTTTCTTAGTGCAGGAGCTCTTGAAGAGTTTGGTGGAGGTGCCTCCCCATATTTTCCCCTTTCTTTACTTTCCTTTGTAAATCTTATTTTGTTTGAGTTGCCTCGAGTTCCGGCACTCGCGGGAGACAAGGAGGTCTTGGTGTTGCCGCTGCTGTGTTCGTTTCAGGCGCTCACAGCTGCTGCTCATGTCGTCCATGGCGAAGCTGAGCGGCTGGTGGAAGAAAAGGTGCAGCGCCTAGACAGACCGTATGAAGTTTTTGTAGCTTACACATGCAGACTGCAGATGGGCAGATGCTATGTTTGTTTGCACACATACATATATAATTGAAGAATCCGCAGAGTTGCATCAGAATCCATGAGAGCTTTGCACGGCATGTCATTCATGTAAAGGACGTATGCAATGCGTCAGACAGGCCTAAGCCATAGTGGTTCGAGTTTGCAGCAAAAGGGTTTGCCTTGCACTCGCTGTTGACCGCGTCCCAGCGATTTCAGTGGCACCGGAGCTGTTGGTTCGATTGGGCATTTGCATCTGCGCTGCTTCGCTTGCTTGCTTGCTCTTTTGGCCACCCCTCTTTTCCTTTGACTTTGTGTTGGGTGATTGCTTTACCGTCTTCACATTGGTCTTGGAATTTGAGGGTACACTCCAGGTCTTCTACCACTTCATTTCTGCCTAAGGCATTGTTTTGGTGTTTGACCTCAAGCTTTTGACTTTGGCATCATCGTTGGGCCCTCCTCCCATTCTTTGTCATCGCTCTTGCGGAGCTCTACGGCAAGGCTTGGGTTGTGGAGAACATCGGTGTGCCGGGGTCTGGAACTTTTCACCCCTTTGCGCACGAACTACCGTGCCAGGTGATAACTAGATCACCACCTTTTTGCGAAACCTTCTTGAATCAGGGCTTCAACTTGCACCTGGTCTTTGCGGAGGTCATTGAGTTTTTTTTCTTTTTAGGCCATTTTGGCCATCCCCTTCTGCGTGAACCCAATGGCAGAAGAAGGAAAGGACACATCGTCCTGGTACAAGGTTCCCACGTGGTCAGGTGATCCTTCAGAATGGAGGGCATTCAAGCGAGAGATGAGCTGGTGGATCGCCTCACTTGATCCAATCAGCAGTGGCAAATACAACGTAGCAGCTCGTTGGGCCCTGAGGCAGTCGGGTGTTGTTAGAGCAAGATGTGAAGAATATGATCCGGCTGACCTTGCAGGTACACCGGCCGCGGAAGGAACCGACCCAGAATCAGGTGAAAAGGTTGTTCTACAAGCAGCTGACCCTTTCAGCGGCCTTCAGAGGCTTCTCCGATCTCTGGAAGACAGTATGGGGAAGACAGCATTGGACAGAAAGGGCGAGCTGCGGAAGCAATTCTACCAGAGCATTCGCCGGTCACCAGGCGAAAGGATTGCGACGTTTTGTACGCGCTACAGAACTTTGACAGGTGAGATGAAAAGAGAAGGAATTGTTTTGCCCAGCGAAGAGCTGGGATGGTTCCTCAAGGACCGTTTGGGTCTTGATGCTTTGCGTGTGCAGCTACTTGAGACAGCACTTGCAGGTCGTGAAGAATATGACCAAGTTGAAACCGAGGTTTTACGGCTCTTCAGAGATTTGCATGTTGCTGATCCTTTGATGAAAACAAAGCCATTCAACAACCATGGTGATCAGCGGCAGACTCCTTTGCAGCGTTTCTTGAGTCAACCCCAGCAAGGAGCTCGACAAGGCGCACCTTCCAGCAGCACTTCCTCGCTCAAGTCTTTCAAAACCTCCAGCAGTTACAGGTTTAAACCGAGTTCCAATGCAAGCAGCGGCAGATCTGCTTACGTTGTGGAAGACGCCGATGAGGGCGATGAGGAAGAATGTGATGAAGAGCTGGTGCCAGATGACTCTGGCAATGGTGTTCCTAGCCTAGAAGAAGTGTTGCAAACGGAAGCTGAAGTTCTTGCAGCTGAAATCCAGGAGCTTGAAGAGTCTGGTGAGGTGGAGTCCTCCATTTTGGAAGGCCTCGAGACTGGCGTCGAACAAGCAGCCGAGTCCCTAGTAACAATGAGGGAGGCCCGTTCCAAAATCAACGAGATCAAAAAAGATCGTGGATACCACCGCAACTCCTCAAACTCCAAAGTGAAGTTGAATGGGAACCAGGTTGAAAAGAAGAAAGGAAGAACGCAGTGTTGGGACTGCGGTGAATATGGCCACTGGGGAGGAGACAGTCAGTGTCCAAAGCCTGGAGCCGGACTTTTCAAACCCAAAGGCGCAGGCAAGAAATCTTCCCAGAGCAGCAGTGGTGGTGGCAAGCAAGTAAAGGTCGTTGAAACTTTGAACACCGAGCATGTGTTTGACGAGAACGAGAGCGGCCAGCATGAAGTTTTGATGGTGAATGTTGGAAGCCTCCCGTTTTCAGAGGCCTTGGCATCCTCAAAGCAGGAGAAGACTGGCGCACCTGGACTTGCGCGTGACAAAGTCCTTGTGGGAGCGCTCGATTCAGCCTGCAGTCGCACATGTGCAGGTGATACATGGTTGAAACACTACTTGCACACTTTGAAGATGGCACCACAACCAATCCAAGATTTGGTCACCACGGCCCAGGAAGAAGAATTGTTCCGATTTGGGAACGGCGGAACGCAGAGGAGTTCCGTGAGGTACCGTTTGCCTATGATGGTTGGTGGCAATTTGGTAGCTGTTTGGGTGAGTGTCGTCAAGGTCCCCAGTTTAGGTCTTTTACTTGGTCGTGATTTTTTGGATGGAATTGGTGCAGTTGTGAGCTTCACCAAGCAGAAGCTGAGACCTGACTTCCTTGATGGCAAGCTGATTGACTTAGCCCAAGTCTCTGCAGGACACTTCGCGCTTCGATTGGTCCCTTCAAGCTGGCCCAGGCTTGGTTCTCATCGCTGGCGGCGTTGGGGTGAAGATGGGATCATTGAACAGCAGTTGTCAGTCAGTGATTGGTTTTCAAAGAAATTTCATCAGCCATCCAAACAATTTGATGTTGATGTCAGCACCCATGAGCATCTTGTCACTGAGAAGGGTATTCAAGCCGCACAGTTTGCTTTTATTTCAGTGCCAACGTCGGTGGCTTCTCCGGTTCAAGCAATGTCTTCATTGACAGCGCAACCATCTACCTCTCTGAGGACCCCGACAACATCTTCTTCGACTAGTGATGCCCGTGGACGTTTCAAAGCTGACAGCAAGGTGGCGAAGATGGCTTCTCAAGCTATGGGCAAGGGCACAATGGCACGCCTATGGATTGCTCTTATGGCTTGTGCAGCGGCCATCAATCAGATTCCTGCCTTGCCCGTATCCAGCGACAGCCTCTGCAGAACAATGGATCCAGCAGACAAAGGACATGATGGAGCGAAAGCTCATCGTTGCAAAGCATGGCAAGAAGGTGCTGGACCAAAACTTGTGTACGGCAAAGAATCTCCAAGATTGCCGGACTCTCACCAGCCGATTGGGCTGGGAAGTTGCGTTTCTGGAGGATCCCTTGCTGGATGGCCTGCTGGCAGCCAAGTCAGCCAAAGGCCAAGCAGCCAGAATCCGAAGAGCAGTGATCGAGGATGCGAAAGCCGAGCTGGCCGAGCTGAAGTCAAAAGCACAGCGAGAAGACGCTGCGCGGCAGTTGATAGGGCCGAAAGGCGGTTTGCCGACCTTGAACGGCGATCTGTTGCGCCTCGCAACTCTCCTGAAAGTGGATGTGGACGACTCCATGAAGGTGGAACAGATCAAGCAGGCGCTCAAACCAGTGGTGGAGCTGCTCAAAGGTCCACCAACGGCAGCCAAGAGCAAAGCAGCTGCCGACTCTGCGGGTCAGCGCAGAGGAGCCAGGCCCAAAGCCTTGCAGCATGGCCCAAGAAGTTCTTCAGCCGAGCCAGAGCCGGCACTTCCAGTTCCAGGTCCAATCAATGCAATGCCATCGACTTCAAGCCAGGGATTGACCCAGCAGGACATCGAAGAACTGTTTCTGCGCCAAGATCAAAGAGTGCAGACTATGCTATCCCAGGCAATGCAGCAGATGATGGCGACCATGCAGCCGCTCCATTCCCAAGACGTTGCAGCAGCCTATGTTCAGGCAAGTCCTCAGAACTATCAACTGACGGATGCGGAGATGGAAGAGATCAATGGGCTGCACCAAGCAGAGCTTCAGGAAGAACGTCTTTGGAACGAGCATGGCGAAGAGTTGGCCTGGATGACAATACAAGAGATGGAAGATCTTCAGAAGCAAGATCTGGAAAGATGAGCCACCATGGATTTTCTGGTCTGACCTCATCCCATTTGGACTCAAGACCTCTTGGACTTTCTGAGGCCAGGGACGATGGACTTCGAACCCCTGGGGATGAGGCAGATTCTGAGTGGCGTTTGGATGCAGATTGCATCAAAAAGGGGCAGGCACTTTTGATTTCACAAGCTTGGCAGAAACATGATCGAGCCAGGCGACTCATTTCCAAGGGCGACATTCATGCAGTCATGGAGGTGGATTGGAAGAGAGAAATGGAATCTTACATGAATGAGACCTTTGTGACGTCGTTGGAATTGACGCCCAAGCCCCATGATGGTGTTTTCGTTTCAGAAGTTTTCACCACTGTGCAAAGAGTGATCAAGCAAGCTTCAGCCAAAGGGCATTCAGTTGGTTTTGCTTTGTCTTTGGAGACAGGTTGGGATTTTCGGCGATTGGCTGATCGCAAAGCTGGACGTTTGGTGGTGGAGAAGGAAAAACCCTACCTGCTGGTGTTGGCGTTTCCTTGTGGCCCATGGTCAGCACTCATGCGACTCAACCCTGCGCATGACTTAGATGCCAGACGTGCTGAAGGCATCAAGCTGATCAAGTACGCCATTGAACTGGCTGAGCTTCAGCTATCCCAAGGAAGACACTTCCTGCTGGAGAACCCCCTCACTGCAGAATCCTGGTCTTTGCCCCAGCTGAAGAAACTTTTGCAACGTTTGGAATGCCATCAAGCTGTTTTTGATCAATGTCGTTTTCAACTCCGTGGTCCCTCTGGTTTGCTTCACAAGAAACCTACAAAGATTGCAACAAGCTCTGAAGCAATTGCACGGAGGTTGGATGGAAGACGATGTTTGCGAGATCATGAACATGAGCATGTTTTGGGCGGTGGAAAGATTACATCAGCTGCTGGCCTCTACACCAAGGAGTTGGCGAATGAAATCATTCTTGGTTTGGAAGAGGAATTTGAACAGTCTCAACGTCGAGCACCTCATGAGACCATGGCCGTGGAGGAGGGTGACATTGAAGATGATTTGGATCGCGAGATTGATCCACCTATGGAGATGAGAGATTTGGAAAGCAGCGATGATGAGGTGAAAATTACACCACCCAACATGAAGATTTCGGCCAGTGTGAAAGAGGCAGTGCGTAAGCTTCACAACAACACTGGGCACAGGTCCAACAAACGCTTGGCCAGGGCGTTAGCAATTGCAGGTGCTCCTTCGACAGCCATCATTGCCGCCAAAACTTTGCAATGCGCTGTATGCCAAGAACGAAGAGCGCCAAAAGCAAGGAGACCAGCTACCTTGCCTACACCTAAAGATTGTGGAGACCAAGTTCACATTGATATCTTTGAGGTGGAGGACCTGACCGAAACACGTTTCTATGCTGTGCACATCATTGATGCTGTGAGCCGTTTTCAGATGGGTGAAATTCTCGCCGACAAATCTGCAGACTCAGTGGTGCAGTTTGTGAAACGGCGGTGGATGCCGATTTTTGGCCCCCCTCGAGTCCTAGTCGCAGACCAAGGAAGAGAATTTGTCTCTTGGAAATTCGAGGAGATGGCGGCACAGCACAGCACTTTGTTGTGGCATACAGCAGTTCAAAGCCCGTGGCAGAATGGAATCTGTGAGAAGGGCGGCGGAATTTTAAAAGCAATTGTGGCAGCAGTTGTGAAAAGCCAGTCTGTGGTTGGACGTGAGGAGATGGAGACGGCCCTTCAAGAAGCCATCACGGCTTACAATGCAGACATCAACGAGGCCGGAGTTTCTCCTGCTCAAGCTGCTCTTGGACGACAACCGAAGATGACAGGTGACGTTTTGGGAGACTTTGGACAGCGGTTAGCTGAACATGGTTTGGTTGAATGCCGGCCGACAATAGCCCGGCAGGTCGCAATGCGGGAGGTGGCAAAACTTGCTATGCTACGTCTTCATTTTTCACGTGGCCTTCGCCGAGCAGAGCTTGCACGTTCCAGAACCTCCACCGTCACTCAAGAGCTTGAGCCTGGCATGATAGTTTATTACTATCGCATGTCCAAGTACAATGCCAAGACTGGACCTTCCAAGAAGAAGCTTTCTTTGAAGCGGTGGCATGGCCCTGGTTTGCTTGTGGCCTTGGAGGGGCATGCAAATTGCTTTATCTCCCACAAGGGGCAGTTGGTCAAGACTGCGCTGGAGCATGTGAGACGTGCCTCTACGATGGAGCAGATCACCGCCGATGAATGGGAGCTTGCTGTCCAAGATGTGGTTGAAGCGGCTATGAGAGATAATATCCAACCCCTTGAAGTTGAGCCTGAAGTGTTGGAGCCTGCAGTACCAGCACAACAACCACAACCTGAACAAGCTGATCTTCCTCAAGTGCCAGTACAACCTCAAGAGCTTGCCGCAGCAATGCAATCAATGGCTGCGAGTGCTCCTCCTTCAGTCAGTGCACCACCATCAAGAAGATCCAGTTTGTTGAGCACGTCATTGCGTGGCCGTGGTGGTTTGGTGAGCCAACCTCAAACACCTCTCCCACCTGTACCTGCGTCTCCCAGACCGGGTAGTGGCAGAAGTTCGCGCATTGAAAGTGCTGTTGGGCGGTTGATGGAAGATAGTGAGCGCAAACGAGCGCCCGAAGTTGCAACAGAGATTCTGCAAGATGCTGAGCGCGAAGCACGCGCGACTGGTTCTGCTGACCTTCCTGTTCCTTCACAGCCTGGTGGAACAGTTGAACATGCCTCCATGTCAGTGGAACAGGTGATGTCCGGCGGCCGACATCCGCTAAGCATCATTGCCGACCTTGCCAAGCAAGATCAACAAGATCCTTTGGAGCATGCGGTTGAAGACCATGGTTCTTGGGACGGCAGATGGCCGACACCTTCACGAACTGACTGGGAGACTCATGAGCGTTACGGTTTGTCGTGGCCTTGCAGTCGTCCAGAAGTTTACGCAGTTCAAACTGCACGCAAGGAATACAAATGGAAGGAGATGCAAACCGAGGACAAGCCGCACTTCAAGGAAGCTGCAAAAGTTGGTTGGCAGGCATGGGTTGACAATGGGGCGGTTGAGCTTTTGAACGCCCGTGATGCCCAAGCAGTCCGCGCAAGACTCAAAGCTCGTGGGGAACAATGCAAGATCCTCATTCCAAGGTATGTCTACACGGACAAGCATGATGGAATCAGGACATCCTCCAGACCATTACCTCTGAAAGCCAATGCCCGTTTGGTTGTGCCTGGATTCCGAGATGTAACTGCTTACACTGTCCGTAAGGACGCTCCAACATGCTCAAGGGTAAGTTTTCACTACCTCTTGGTCTTCAGCAGTTCAAAGCGCTGGCGACTGGTGAGTGCAGATGTGAAAGCAGCCTTCCTGAAAGGCGAGGAGTTCAGCCCTGGTGAACGTGACCTCTACATTGGCCAAATCAGAACTGGCGATGCAGATGAGCCTTGCCTACCTCTTGGAGAAGGACAGCTTGCCCGCCTGAAGAAAGGCATTTTTGGGTTGGCAGACAGCCCCCGGCGCTGGTACTTGCGCCTCCACAAGTCTTTGACCCGACTTGGATGGCAGCGCTCAATCATTGACAGCGCGATGTGGCTTCTTTGGAGCGACAGTGGCGAGTTGGAAGGGCTGGTCATCAGTCACGTTGATGATTTGCTGATGGGCGGCAACGCCCGTGCCAGAAAGCTGTTGGATGAGCTTGGACGAGAGCTTGGGTTTGGCAGTTTGGAAAGCGGCAGTTTTGTATACTGCGGCAAACGCATCACGCAAGATGAAGAGGACTTTTCCATCACTGTGGACATGACTGAGTATCACGAGAATCTCAAACCTGTTCCAGTTCCTCTTCACCGCAAGCGTGAGCCTGAGTCACCATTGACACCTGGCGAGCAGAAGCAGCTGCGAGCGATCCTTGGGAGTTTGCAATGGTTGGTATCTCAAGTGAGAGTTGATTTGGGGTTCCAGCTATCTACGCTTCAAGGTGACCGTCAAGTGGTTGGCACTCTCTTGCGAGCGAATGCCTTGGTGAGACAAGCGAAGCAAAACTCTTCATTTGCATTGCGCTACTTGCCCATGGACTTGAAGTCTTGTGGTTTGCTGGTTGTGACTGATGCGTCACTAGGCAATGTGTGCAAGAATGGCAGTGCAGACGGCAGCGTTTCTGACCGAGTCTACAGCCAGGCAACCTACTTCATCATGGTCGCAGACAAGAATTTGATGAGTGGAAAACCAGGTCGTTTCAACTTGGTGGATGCACGAAGCCACCGACTGGGAAGGGTTTGTCGCTCTACGTTTGGAGCGGAATTGCTGAGCTCTGAAGAGGGCCTTGATGCAGGGCAATACAGCCGTGGAGTTTTTGCAGAGCTGATGGGATACCCCATGGAGCATCGTTCTGCTGAGCTCAGTGCTGAGCAAATTCCATTGCAGCTGGTGACGGATGCCAAGGACAACTTCGACAAGTGCAACAGCGACACGCCGACTTACGGCAGTCAGAAATCATTGGCATTCACCATTGCTTGGTTGCGCAGTGCCCTCAGAAAGGAGAACACCACCATGTCATGGACGAGCACACAAAACATGTTTGCTGATGGCGGGACGAAGCTGATGAAGCTGGAGCACATGAGCAAGATCCTGCAGTCCAATGAGTGGAGCGTTAGGTTTTCCCCTGATTTTGTGAAACAATTGGTCAAGAAACCGACCAAAGCAGCCGAAAGGGATTGTAGCAAAGCCTTGATAGGTAGTCCAGTTGGTAGCGCAGACCCAATGCACGGACATTTGCTGAATCTAGGAGATCAATTTGGATGGCACAGGAAAGACCAATATCTTGTGCACGTAGCCAAAGATGCAAAAGCATTTAGGACGCCAGAGCCTAGAGCTGAGTCATCGGCATTCCCCTTGAGAAGCACGTATGGCAAGTTTGTTGATTCCAATGGAAGTGGGGAATGGCGAAAATTAGAAGACAAAGTCCCTTATGTCGGATTGCCCAATAGACATGGCGCAATTGGCGACACGGCTGCGAACCTTTTGACAATTTTCATGCCATGGATTCTGAAGCAAGAAAGAAATTTACCAGCTGAAGAATCCGCAGAGTTGCATCAGAATCCATGAGAGTTTTGCACGGCATGTCATTCATGTAAAGGACGTATGCAATGCGTCAGACAGGCCTAAGCCATAGTGGTTCGAGTTTGCAGCAAAAGGGTTTGCCTTGCACTCGCTGTTGACCGCGTCCCAGCGATTTCAATAATAGAACCATATCTACTAATATACATAATTATCTACATGTACTGTAAAACATATACTTAAAGACATATGTAAAAGGATGTGTCTGCATTCTGATTCACGTAATCACGTAATCATTATCTATGCTGTATGTATGAACTCTAATACAAACATATGTATCATATGTATGTATACAAGATTATACAAGCATATATACATGATTCTGTTACATGATGCGTTTGCAGAAGAGTGGTGCCTATGCCACATTGCTTTAAATGCTTCTCCTTGTCGAGGCGCTCTCATTTGACCAAGTTCTCCTTGACAACAGGCCACGGGGCGGGACCATGGGGCCATGGATGACTTCATGTGTTCACTGGCGTTCACATGTGGCGTTCACGTGTGACGTTCACGTATGATATTTGGAAGTTGCAACTCCTTGGAATTTCTTGGTGCGAGGAAAGCGATGCACCAATTAGAAGCCAAGCTGACGGTGCGATGCCCAGGGCTTTCACCCAGGTCCAGCATCGCCACTCAACTATTGTAACTATTGTGTACACAATGTGTAGATGTAAAAACACAATTTCTAGATCATCTTTCATCATCTTTCCAGATCTCGAATGACAGCTGCAAACAAATTGCTGATAAAGACAATAGCGTCGACATCTTTTGTCTGAGCCAAGAACCACCACGCGTGTTACAGGAGCAGAGGACGTGCAACTATAGGATGAACAAATCTGACAAATGAATGACAACAGTGTATATAGTAATTACTTGGGAAACTAGTGCATAGGCCATACGGCTATTCGCGCGCTTTGGTTGGATATGCTTCCAGCTTCTAAAGAAAGCCTTTGTCATTTCAACGGATAAGCTTCATAGTAGAGGCGTCAACTAGCTAAGGCACTTTCTTAAAGAAAGATAAAGAAAGAAAATAAATCTCAGCTCCCGCATTCCGCCAGCATTAAATCTAGACACATGTCACAATCTGTCACATTTCTTTACGTGTACCTTTTCGATCCGTTTCGTTCCTGTGTCTCCTGATGTCTCCTGTGAGGTGCAGGCTTTAGAGGACAACAAAGAGTACAAGGTCCCTCTGTGTGCCTCCTGTTCCACCTGCGCTTCCAGATCCACCCGAAAACAAGGACTTGGTATGACTTGGTAAACTCCACATTTTCATCAACATTTTTTCACCATTTTTACCACTATGGACATTTAGGGACTACAACCAAAACGAAGCATCTCTGGGAGGTGCGGTGGCACAAAGGCCTGCTGCTGTGGAAGCAGCAAAGGTGCTGCCCTTGTTTTGTCGTGCCTCTGACACAGCTTCAAGTCCCATGCGTCACGCAGCCGTCACATGGATCCAAGGCATAGACACAGTATGGCAGTTGTGATGCGGCGAATTCGCAGAACAGACCTCAGTGTCGATGCATGACATGTGTAGACTGTGGCGGAATCACACGCATGGTAGCTTCAACACTAAGGCAATGAGTTCCGCCAGCCAGATTCACTTATCGAGGTGCCACTGTGCGAACTCATTTCTAACATCTGTGTATTGTATGTTCTGTTCTTAGTGATTGTTATTGTTGAACACTGGAGGCTGTGGGAAGGGTGCGAGACCACCAAGCGTATGTGCTCAATCAGCGGAAAGAGCTGATGGATGAGTGCACGTCTCAGACCTTCTGCCTTCAACTGCAGCTGCACCTACCCCATTACGGTTTTGTGCCTGTACCTGTGAGATCCTGTGAGATCCTGTGAGATCCTGTGAGATCCTGTGAGAAGATTGAGAAGATTGAGAAGTTGTGAGGCTTTTTTGCATCCCTCAGCAGCGGCTCACTGTAGTCAGAGCCTTGGTATTCTAGCACAGCAGCACTTGGCAGCACTTGGCCGCAGACTCCAAGAGCAGACCCAAGACGTGTTCGACGTGTTCGACGTGTTCGACGTGTTCGACGTGTTCGAGTTGGTTTCACTGAGTTTGACTTGGTTAATCTCCCCTGGACCCATCATGGCTTGTGTCGAGGCAGCAGTCCGCCAATTGGAAGAGGCAAACACACAGTTAAACGTCGCAGCCTTGGGTCAACGACTGCGATGTAGGTCAATGCTGCGCCATGTTGTGCCAACCCTTGGTACTGCCTAGTACTGCTTAGTATGCCTTGGTATGTTTTCTATGCCTTCAATATGCTTGGCGTTCTCATCCGACTTTGAGGATAGAGCCCAGGAGACCTTCGATACCCTGCTCGTGGAACTCAGAGAACTGCGAGAAGCATTGAATGTTTCCCGGCGTCACAAAACTTGACATCGGGTATATGTGACTGCTTGTTTTTCAGTCTGTGGATCCATGTTTTTTTCTTTTCACATTTCTGTTTCCAGGTGTCTGTAAACACGTCTGACGTGTCACCAGTGGCCAGACATGGCAAGACATGGCAAGACCAGGTTTCGGCGGAGCAGATGCTTGGCGAGCTTGGGCTCGAGCTGGAAGTGCATGATGCTCGCCAGGCTGGCAGCAGATAGAGTGACGCCAGGAATTCACAGACACTTCACAGACACTTCACAGACACTTCACAGACACTTCACAGACACTTCACAGACACTTCACAGACACTTCACAGACACTTCAGAATATCACTTGTTTGAATATTGTTTGAATACTGTTTGATCATGTTAGAATGTGGAGGAATGGAAAGGCCATGACTCGGTGGCAAATCTTATTGACGCAGAAGTGATGTACTCAGACAGGGAGAGGACCATGTGAATCCGTGTGAATCCGTGTGTTTCCGTGTGGTGAGCTTCGCAAGTGTTCTTGAACCGATCCGATGGTTTCGATGATTTCGATGATTTCGATGCACTCAGGTTAGGCCACCGTTGCGAGAGTGTCTTGATCAGGCCGTGAGGGCAAGGACTTCAAGATACAGCCAAGTCAGACATGAAGTCTATCAGAATCTTAAGAAATTCAGACAATTCAGAGCAATTCAGAGCAATTCAGAGTCTCAGAGTCTCAGAGCATTGGAGATGGAGAGTCAGTCAGAGAATGCGAATCCTAGTGAGTCAGGGTTGAAGTCAGAGCAGAGCAGTCAGGGTTCAATGCCTCCAAGTGCCTCCACCGCCTTGGCAAGGTGGCTGCCATGCTGCATGCACTTTCCAACAAGCTCACTCATCAAGAGGAGGCTGCGTCTTATGTTTTGTCATGTCTTATTCTCTGTATTCTCTTGGTTAAGGACTTGATTCTGGGTTGTCCAGTTCGGAGCATTTGGTTTTCGGCTAGAAACCGTTTCTTACTCTTGGTTGACTTTGCACATTTTTGTACATTGTGAATATTTGTGAATCGTTGAAATGGTATTTTGCTTTGCGATACTCCGATATACTCAGATAATTCAGCAATCGCAATGACACACAAGGCCACAAGGCCACAAGGCGGCCACAAGGCACATATGTATTACATATGTTTCTTCCTTGTCCAGGCCTTGCACCTCGCAGTGACGGGTGTTCTCAGTTTCTTCACCAACCTCGCCAAGAGACAAGAGCTGCTGAAGAAACGTGTGGAGGAGTTTGAGGTGAATTACAATGGCGAGGTTGAAGATTGTGAAAAAGATTTCGAAGATACCTGTGAAAGGAACGAGAATCGAATGAAAGAATTGCATGGCGAAATTGATGACGCA